TTCTAACAAGATATTATGCCGCACTGTATCGAAAGCTTTGGAAAAATCTATAAATACACCTAATGTAAAATTCTTATTATCGATAGCATCATGAAGATTTTCTACTGCTGAAACAAGTGCATGAAAGGTTGAGTGCTTACTGCGGAAACCAAACTGATTATCACAGAAAAGATTGTGCTTATTAAAGAAATCAGATACGTTTTTATGTATTAACTTCTCGAAAATCTTAGCAAAAACAGGTAACATTGAAATAGGACGATAATTGCTTATATCAGAAATAGATCCTTTATTCTTATACAAAGGAATTATTTTTGCTGCTTTTAATTCTTTCGGAAAATAACCTTCATTTGCACATTTATTAAAAATATCAGCCAGTAAAGGACTTAAAGTGGTAGCTAAAAGTTTGAGGACCCTAGGAGAATAATACGTACCCTTGCTATTATTAAGCTTACTTATAATATTATTTATTTCTTCACTTGAAAAATTAATATCCGATAGCTCGCTTATGTTCCTCTCAGGCATATATTTATTAAAATCTGTTAAATCCGCGTTAGCATTTTCACCATACGTTTTTAGTAAAAGATCATTAGCAATATTAACAAAATAATAATTAAAATTATGCGCTGCATCTTGATTAGGAAAAACTAGTAATCTGTTTGATCTCTTCCTACCTAGTAAACCGTTTATCAGTTTCCAAGTCTTTTTCAAATCATGTTGATTTGCTTTAAAACATTTATCAAAATACTCAAATTTTTCTTTACTTCTAATAGCATCAAACACTCGTTTGTAATCAACATATTTGTTCCAATTAACTCTAGTTTTATTCATAACCCAAATATCATAGAGTTTGTTTTTAGTGTCACTACTCTTGGCCACTCCTATTGAAATCCAATCAGAGCGAAGAAGAGAATTATTACCACTAGACTTCTGACTTTTAATAAACCACTTATCATACAGAGTTTTAAAATTTCTGTCAAAAAAGGAATACATATTTTCGGCAGAATCACTTTCAAGATCAAATTTTAATAATTTAAAATCATTCAAAAACCCTTGTAATAAAAAGTCATTAATATTTACTTTATTTCTATTTCTACACTTTTCGTTAGGATCAAAATTATAGTCCAAAACTACGAATGTAGGAAGGTGACGACTTATATTACATCGTATAAGGCCGTTACAAATTATGTTAGATATATTGTTAGTAAGTATATGATCAATACATGTGCCATTTAAGCCTCCAAAATGAGTAGCACGTGAGATAATTGGTAAAAAGTTATTGCTAAACATGCAGTCTAAATATCTCCTAACAACACTAGAATTGGAGTTATATAGATTTACATTAAAGTCACCAAGAATATAGCTTTTGTGTCCCTTAAATGTGTTCAATTTACTTAAGATACTGCCAAACATATCGATAAATGAATCAAAGTTTCCACTTGGTGATCTATAACAATTAACAACTAGTAACTTTTCAGATTTAACTGTTATTTCAACACAAAGTGATTCAAAATCAACGGTAGAATAACAAAGCTCAAATTTTTGATTAATATTATTAAATTTGTCACGCAAAAACGTTACCAAACCAGAACCTTTGTGTTTAAGCTTTCCATCCTCCTTCAATAATCGATTAAGTACAAATTTATTATAACCCGGTATGTAAAATGGTTGTGACTCATGTTCTGTTACATTAGTTTCACAAAGGAAATATCCATCAGCTTTGAAACGTCCATGGTGCACTAAAAAGCAGTCAAAATTTGATCTGAATCCATCAATATTCAAACTTAATAACGATAATCCATTGTCGTTCATTTTTTCTTCAAAATCATCTAACTTATAATAGACGCACTGACGCAGTATCTGGCTGCAATCTTGTAAATTCTCGCTAAGAGTTTCAACATCCGGGATAAAATCTATCATTTCATTGTAATAATATTCAAAAGGAGCAAAGAACGGTTGTTCGGAATAAAAATCAGTTTCAATATATTCAACAGTACTGGTAGTAGCAGTGTTTAAGTCAAGTAAGGGTAAGGGCATACATGACGAACAAATATTAGACTTAACACAGTTCTTGTGCAACATTTTGAAACATTGTTTACACTGTGCAATCTTTTCATTAAATATATCAATATTTGTTAAACATGTCACACACTTATAATACTCAATATAATCGTCATAGCATATTTTACAATACCATACAAATTGCTGAAGTATAAATATGGTACTATTGTCTAGCTTTAAACAAGATCCATGATATATGTCCTTACAGTTGTTGCAACGTAGAATGAATTGGTGAAAGTACAAAATTTTATGACAGAAGACGCAATGCTTACGGTCAGAGGGAATGAGGATGTTGGGAAGGGTCATGTTTGAAACTCCGTCATCCATAACTCTCTGTTAGAAATATTAAAATCTGAAAAATAGTTGTATTAGAATTATTCATCTCACGGTGTGAATTCAGTATTGTTCAAAAAGGGGCTCTCACAAAACAAAAACTCTTTAGGTTCAAAAGTAGGCACACAAATCAACAAATCAGCAGTATTCCTAATCAGCTTAGGATTACCGTTAGCATTCATTCTCAATAAAACATTCCCATTCTTGTAGTCAACCCAACAAGAGTTTAGTCCACCAAATCTGACAGCATCGTTGACCTGCCCTAATAATGCCGCTCGTTTATATGTTATATTGGGCTGTACCCCGACACCCTTTTCGGGGTTCTCAAACAGCAATTTCTTTTTATCTGGGGAAATGTTTTTAGTGCTTTTCCTATTTCTAAACACTTTCTGTGCTGTTGATCTATCTTTGAAGCGAGCAATAAACCTAGGGGCTTTACCCTTCTTGCCCTTCAAGGGATGAGCGGCTACAAGGTCTTCCTTAACAATGTCCACACCTAACTGTTCACACAACAAGACCACTTGGTCCTCACAACTATTGCTCTCATTAACTAGCAAATTGGTAAAACAAACGTTTTCCCTACGTGAGTATTGATCTAAATTATCTAGTTCCACTTCTAGTTTGCAAATCGCATCCGCTTGACGATCGACAACTTTGCTGAGCTTTGAGTTAACGTGTCGAAGTTCCACGAAGTCGTCCAACAATTTAGCATGATCACTACGAGCTATACTAAGTTCGGTTTCTAGATGTTGCATAAATTTCCATAACTCTTGAACTGATCTTAGTTCTGACTCACCGTTGGAAAAGTGAGGTAGCTGTGGCTGTTGTAGTTGTTGACGTGGCATCTGATCGTGCTGATAACCGTTGCCAAACTGAGAAGTCACGGGACAGTAGGAATTACGGGAAGCCTTGCTCTGTCGGCGATCCGAGTTTTGTTGAGAATTGCCATGATGAGACATGTCTTCAAATTTCAATAAACAGGCTGAGCAAGATTTTTAAAACGAATTGAAAGTAGTGATAAGAGATCTGAATCAACTTGTCATCCCGAAATAACAGTATTATATATATTGTTATATAACAGTATATATATACTGTTATATAACAGTATATATACTGTTATTATATATACTGTTATTTCGTTATATAGTGAAACAAATTTTTTTTAGTGAAACAAATTTAAAATTTTATCCTTTATTTTACAATCATAGTATAATAATATTTATAAGCCTCCGTTTTGAAAGTTTTAAATTTTAATACATTCACATTTCTATTTAAAATTCAATTTTATGTACAATAAATTAAATCAAGTGATGCAATTGGCAGAGCACAATCGTAAATCCTGAGCAATAGATATCATCTATCCCTCGTAGCTCTTCTCCTCAGGTATCAGGTTGAAGGAGACATTGGATATAGGGGCAGTCCATGCCTTCTTTGCCTTTCCACGTACACCTCTAACTGTTACTAGCACACTCCTCATTATATCCATGCTCAGGCGTGTCCTGATGTTACACATCACCTGGCTGTAGTCCTCCTTTGTCTTGGTGGCTATCAACACAGCAAGTCTCCTTATGAAACGCTTGGCCTCCGGTGCCATTCCTCCTGTAGTGGTAAATACAAGGGGGACGAATGACCCTTTCTCCAATTGTAGCACTCGGTTCATGTACTGGTTCTTTTTCTCATTCTCGTGCAGAGTGTAGAGCTGTGGCATGGTCTTTCCTTGATATGTAGGCGATTTAGGACTGAAAATGCGCACATTAAAGAAAGTCCTCTCAAATGTGCTCCACACTCCTCTTGCTGATATATCAAGCCTGGCCTTATCAGCATTGTTTCCCTTTTGTTGGAAGTTGGCCGATTCTATAGGTTGTCATCCCGAAATATCCTTGATCTGTATATATTTTCTTAAACACTTAGTCTGGGTCCCTAAGTAACCGTTCACGAGTAAATTGAAAACAACGCTAAAATGTTTCCATCCTCCAAGTTCCTAATCAGAAATTAACTTTCAACTTTTACGGTTCACTAATCAGACCACTTAGAGACTAAAAATGTTCTTTAAGATGTTATATCTTTAAAATATGTACACAAAGTGAACATATTCATCATAAGCAGTCACTCGTTCCACAGTCACTCTCGTTCCTGTACACAAGAATGAAGAAGGACCAGTTGTTGAAGCTTACTGCTTCACAAAGTATTGCTATGGTGACACCTATTACTGCCTGTGTCCCCGTTTATAAGAATGAAGCGAATCTATTATCCTCCTGCAGGACGACACACTCCCATGAATTCCATCTCACAGAAATTCTTGAACACATGATCCTGAAGCAAGACCTGGGTAGAAAAGTTGCAGAATCAGATCTACCTTTATGAAATAAAGACTCATACCTTATTCTAGAAACAACTTTTGATAAGAGTTATGGTCTTTATGTTATGGTTTTTTCGGTACAAAGGCTGTGTTTTTTCGGTACAAAGGCTGTGTGGCAACTGTTCTTTCACTGCATTTATGATTTCAGCATATAGTAGTTAGCTACACCTTATTCATATTTGAATTAGCTATTAATACCTTATTTAATTAAACAAGTTTTCTACAAGTTCTAACTCCATTATCTTACAGAATGAATAAAGCAGCATTGATTGCTGCTGGATCAAGTCTAGCAGCATCATGTGTTATTTACAATGTGTGGCAGCAGAAACAACAGTTTTACCCCACAGTTGTGCACATAAGCAAGAGCTCCTCGTGCATGGCAGTATTCTACATCCAAGCATTTTCAGTTGTATATTTATTTGCCCACATATTCAGGTTAGTAAATTTAATCGAAAATATCTCATGTCTTGCAAACTGGTCTATTAATTCATCTAAATTTTGTATTTGTAGCTGATTGTATTATATATATATATTATCTCCTCAGGAAAATATTTTTCGGTTCTCTGAGAGCAGCAGAGACCGAACATCTGATTGAGCGCAGCTGGTATGCTCTCACTGAAACATGTCTTGCATTTACTGTATTCCGGTTAGTTAGTTGCTTACATCTTACTGCCGTTTAATATCAATGTTTCTAGAATATTTATGAAACTGTGGAACTCTGTTGAAATTGATAAGGCATGTTTTAATATCAAGAAATTTCACCAGGCTGTCATGTAATTTATGTCTGTATAAACTATAAATTTATGCAACTAATTTGTAACTCTGTTTCAGGGATGATTTGAGTCCAAGTTTCATAGCTCAGTTTGCTGTCCTGCTGTTCTTGAAAGCATTTCACTGGCTGCTGGAGGACAGGATCGATTACATGGAACGAAGTCCTGTCATTGGATTCTTCTTCCATCTCAGGGCGCTCACTTTGATGAGTATTTTAGCTGTGTGTGATGCTTTCCTCCTTTCTTATGCAGGTTTGTCGTTTGTTTCAGTTATTTGGTTTCTTAATTAGATGCTATAATTAACTTTTTCCAGTAAATTATACTGTTCTGATCAAAATCTCAAACTCAGGGTGCTAATGTGACATTCAAATAATTGTCGTCTAATTTTATCCCTAGTTGCTGCTTTGAGTTTTCATTATAGAGATTTTACTACAAATGGTATCAGCGAACTATTAGTATTAAATCTCTCCTCAGCAAACTATTTAACCTCTCCTCAGCAAACTATTTAACCTCTCCTCAGCAAACTATTTAACCTCTCCTCAGCAAACTATTTAACCTCTCCTCAGCAAACTATTTAACCTCTCCTCAGCAAACTATTTAACCTCTAGCTCTCCTCAGCAAACTATTTAACCTCTAGCTCTCCTCAGCAAACTATTTAACCTCTAGCTCTCCTCAGCAAACTATTTAACCTCTCCTCAGCAAACTATTTAACCTCTAGCTCTCCTCAGCAAACTATTTAACCTCTAGCTCTCCTCAGCACATGTTACCCTACAAAAGGGAGCCTCAGTACACCTGGTGTTTGGGTTCGAGTACGCAGTTCTGTTGCTCTTAGTGGCTACTATCCTTGTCAAGTACATCTTGCATCTCATTGACCTGAGACATGAGAACCAGTGGCCTAACAAGACCATCTACCTGCTCTACACTGAGCTGGTAATTGGAGCTGTCAAGGTACGTGAACTAACCAATTACTATTGAATTACTAACCAATTACTAACCAATTACTAACCAATTACTAACCAATTGCTAACCAATTACATCGTGACGTCATTTGATCTGTGCTTTGTTAACTGTGGTCACTACGTTAGGCTGTACACATTAGAATACACACCAAGTGTTCTATGTAAAGAACGAATGTATACTACAGACTGTGATTATGTGTATAGCTTTGTGTAAATGTACTCTTGCTCTAGATAAGAAAAGCTAGCTAGATGTTTGTGCATTATTAGTTCAGACCTTGAAAAAGATCTCTTATTGATTCTTATGGTGACTATCAAATAGAACACTACATAGTATCTCACATAATTCTGTTCCACAAATAGTTTGCAAACAGAAAAATAAACAGAAATTTATTGTTTCACTGCACAATTAATGTAACATTCTCCCAGGTTCTAATGTACGCGATGTTTGTAACAATAATGATACGAGTCCACACTTTCCCGCTCTTTGTGATCCGGCCCATGTACCTGGCACTGCGCCAGTTCCAGAAGACCCTAGTGGATGTTATCAAGAGTCGTAAAGCTACCTACAATATGAGGGAGAGGTACCCTGACGCTACCCCGGAAGAGATCAGTAACGGGGACAGCACGTGTATTATCTGTAGGGAGGTAGGAACAACCTCTTTAGAGCTTTAGATGTAGTGAATTTAAAAAACATTATTTAGATTTATTATTTATTTGTTGTACTACTCCGTTGCGATATTATAATCACTATTTCTCTGAAGATATAACTTTTTAATAAAAGGTACGTAATTGCCGTATTTATTCACAGTGCAAAAGAACGCATAATATCATGCAGTACTTGCTAAAACTGGATCTTCAAGTTTTAAAAGCTGTGTTGTTGCGTATTGTACACTACTATTATAGTAAAAACTATTGTACACTACTTGCTAGTACTATTTACAGGCTACACCAATTAGCCTCCCTCGTAATTACAAAGTAGCAACATTACTGAGTACTAAGTACATTCTTTACAACCGTGCAAGTACATATTTACATCCTCGCAATAATATTAGCACCTCGCTACTATTTCAATACGGCATTGCTAGAGAGGCCGTTACAGTATCATGAGCAATTTTAGCATGTTCCACAGATTACAAACGTGATATAACGTGTATAAGATTAAAGATTCTAAATAATAAATGAAAATATAATCTCTTTCGTCCCTATCTGGTCGCTATTTCGGGAACCGGAACTTTAGCTCTGCAAAAAAACAGCTCACCACTAGAATAACCAGAATGGTGCTCTCCAATTTAAAGACGGAACTGGAACCATTCCAATTTTGACGGAGTAGTATACTACATATTAATGTACCTTAATGCCCCTAAATAGTAAATATGACTGGTTGCTCAGGCAGGGGTAGCGAGTGTCTTTACAGTTTAACCTTATTACATAGCAAGATATTCAGTCTTCTGTTTAGAGTAACTGTAGGAGTAGAAGTTACACTTCCCACTCATATTCATCAAATTGTCACACACATAATTTTAATGACCAACAACCGCTAAGTTCGACCACAATTTGAAACTCAATACTACACTTACATCCATCTGATCTCGTTGACAGTTTAACGACACATTTCCATTACTACAGGAAATGACAGCGGCTAAGAAGTTACCGTGTGGTCACATATTTCACCTGGAATGCTTGCGGAGCTGGTTGCTGCGACAGCAGACGTGCCCGACGTGCCGTATTGATATTTTGCAGCAGCAACAACAGCAAGCGAACCAACAAAATCCCCCTCCCAGAAACAACGCCCCGCCCGCGCCAGGTACCACACAATTACACAACTAATTTTATAATTTGTTAAATACAGAACTAATTGCAGCGCATTTGTCAAATATCCGTTGAGAACTTTTTGTCAGTATCAAATTTAATGTTCTTATTTTTTTCAGGTTTTCAGGGACATGCGCACCCACCTCCTCCTCCTCCGATATTCACCTGGGAGAACAATAATAATAACAACAATAACGCTAATAATAATAACGCTAACAATAATAACGCTAACAATAATAACGCTAATGCTAATAACAATAATGCTGGACCTAGTGGAGCAACTCCCAGGATCTACTTACCGACCTCCAGCTCACAACCTAGCGGCAGTTTTACTTTATCAGGTAAAATAAGTTAATTTTGTATTGATTTAAACACAAATCATGTTCTAACATGGATGTTACGGGTTTCCCCAACCATATAGCTGTATAGTGCAGTCAAATTCTGCTCTACTTGTTCCTACCCTAATCAGTCCGAAGATTTTTCCAGCCCAAACATTCTTAGTCGTTAATGATTAAAATTCAAGTCTCCTAGTTCTATAATTCTGTATTATTTGACGAAAGTTTCTAATCCTCCAGGTTTCGCAATGCCGCCTCCTCCACCATCACTTCACACACTCAGCGAGGAGGAATTAAAAGCCTTCGAGGGTAGTACCCGCCAAGCTATCGAGAACAGACTTCTTATTCTGAGAAACGTTCAGGTAATATCAGTTGCTAATCAGTTTCATTTAAACGATGAAAAGTATTAGGATGGTACGAGACGTGAGCGTAAATCAAATATTCTGAAATATATAATCCTACTATTGATTTCAGATGCTGATGGAGGCGATCCAGGGGCAGATGCAGCTTTACAACAGTGTTGCTGGTCCCTTCCCAGCATCTACCTTCGTCTCCTTCTCTACACCTCCAGGTACACCAGACTAGCTCAGATGAGAGCGGGGGGGGGGGGGACCGGGTTGGCAATAATGTGAACATTCCATCAGTAGGGCCCCCTAAAGTTATCTGCAAAATTACAAATGACAATGATACCCAGCGTTCATTAGTCTTGCGGTAGTGAAAGTAGCACTACCACTGCGCTATTGTATATATCTTGATCTGGCATGAAGTAGAAGTAGAAGTGCCGGTTACTGTACCCTGGAAATTGAATTGAATCAAACTGTAAACTAATTTCTCTGCCCTTGATACCGGTTTAAACAGGTTTTCTTCAATCACTTTTGTGATTTACCGTGGGCTGTGGCCGGAAGTCCCCACTTCACGGCACCTCAGCTTTTCTTATCTCTGCTTATCGAAAATATCCCCAAATTTATAATATATGTGCTGCATTGTGTATATTTTATTGTGTGTATTGTGAATATCCGAAAAGGCTTTGCCTCCATTTTTAACCAAATACTTCATCATATATCCGTATTTTTCTTTTGTTTCATACAGTGGCACTTTTAACCTTATATTCAAGTAATTTTAAACTCAGTCCTAATCAGAGTCAAGTAGGATAATACTCCTTACCAGATTATCCTGGCTCGATTATAATCTGGTAGGGGATTCCAACAGGATCTAAGTTCGTTGTTTGACTGTTCCACTGTCTCCAGGTGCAGCTGCTCAACCCTCAACCACACCAGCAGCCCCACCAGCTACACCAGCAGCCCCACCAGCTACTGATCCTCCAGCTACACCTTATAAAGTGGTTATTGGTGATAAGGAGGAGGTGTTTGGATCTAAAGGAGAATGTGAGTTTTAAAAAGCTTATTATTATCTACTTTTTGTTCTCGTTTTGGTTAGTAAAGTATGTTTTTAATTTAATTTGTTTAATTCAACCAAACGGTTCTACTGCGGTAGTACTGGGCTACAGTCAACTCTCATTTAGCTGTGATTTATCAAAGTCCCCAAATATCGGCAGGTACTATAAATAGTACTTGCGTAGTACTACGCAGGTACTATTTAACCTTGCAACCACTGGGGATTCTCAAAACTAGTCAAATTTGGCACCAAAATTATATTATTGATAACCACAAACCCTGCCCTATCAACTAATGATTCCCAAGAATTCTCTTGAACCGTTTATAGATTTTTATAGTGGCTTGTAAATTTTGCTAAGTGACCCCGTCTTCCATGTCCTTATATAGCATTATAAGCCGTAAAGCACACATTGACGGACTCTTGATCTTGATTAACATCTTGTATTCCACTTTTGACGAGATGTCTGCGGTTTAGTTCCCCTTAATGATGTGTATAATATTTGGTAAGCTCGGATCATGTTTTGCTCCGGTGATGCTGTTGACAACTTTACTGAGACACTTTCTGGTGTTGTGTAGGAATGTGCAGAATGTGGAGACCATCATATCTCATTATATAGGTATTTAACTGATAGTTAATAGAATATAGTATGTTCAATTTCTTGAATATTTTGACCCACCCATCCTCTTTGCGGTACTAACCGTTTTTTCGGATAATAATTCTCAATAACTGTTGAGAAATCAAGGTACTAACTGTGTCTTGGTATATAAAATAAGATACCCACCCAAAAATTGCTTTAAACAGCACATTAAACACGACTTTTTAGTTTTAAAAGGATCCGATATTGAATGTAAACAATAAAACTAACAGTTGAGATATCTATGCTTAATTCTTTAATTAAATACAGATTATACTATGCTAGCGGGCTGAAAAATTCTGGGCCTTTATAGTAGCAGGCTGCACGTGCCTGCTGTAGCAAAAAGAGCCCGCCGGTGGATATAAAGCTGTTTTAGTGTATACGACTCGCATGGATACAACCTTTCAAAAGATCATTATATTGGTGGTGATGGTATGTACTGAAACATGTTTGTACTACATTACACATCATCCAAGAACCAGTAATTGAAATACATTTATAATAAATTAAACACTGCACCTTCTCAAGTGAAAAAGTCAACAGGCCACTTTTTAAAATTATACAAAAGATCAATCACATACCCTTATTTACTAACTGTTTTTGGGTAAATTAGACCTAAGACCCACAAATTAGACCTAAAACCCACTACGTCCTTACTCCTTGTGCACCGCCCCACTGGAGTAAGAGGTAACCTTTGCGTTCCAAGTGTAACTGATACACTTGGCGTTGCTATAGTAATCTAATGAGAGCAGGTTCGCAGAATGCTGCGCTCTTATTGGCTAGTGAAAGGTCCACGGCCTCTCCTCATTGGGTGATAGACATTTGTCACCTTCACACTAATCTAATTTGTGCCTCATGGGATAGCAGTCGTCCTGGTGTTAATGTCGTTTTGCAACGTGTTCCTTATCCAGTACGCCGGTTTTGTCTTTATTGTGCCCGTTTGCCAGGAGTATCATATTATACATTCAGTAAATAGTGCATTTTATAATTGAATTAGCAATTGAGACGCTAAACTGACTAATAGAAACAACCTCGTCTCGTTTAAAAAATATTAAATCCCTTAGAGTAATTATCGTATTAGTTCAAAACGTTCAATTTTGCTAATTTGCTATTCAAATACATATATTAACACATTTTGTCTCTCACATCGTAACCAGGCATTTGATAATATTGAAAACTGCTCAAATATTTTAAATATTATCACAAATATTAATACGATCACCTCCTGGCGTGCTCATATTCCTGATCGGCTAAAATGTTCTGGTAAAAACAAATAAAATTCCAATTCCTATTTCTATAGCAAGTTTTACATCGGTTATGTTCAGTGTAAGCATGTTTCCCTCTCATGGCCCACATCTAAACCTTGTCTCTTCTGGCCTCTAGGCTCTAGACCCATCTCAACCTTGTTTCTCCTGGCCTCTAGACCCATCACACCCTTGTCTCTCCTGGCCTCTGTAACCATCACGCCCTTGTCTCTCCTGGCCTCTAGACCCATCACACCCTTGTCTCTCCTGGCCTCTAGACCCATCTCAACCTTGTCTCTCCTGGCCTCTAGACCCATCACACCCTTGTCTCTCCTGGCCTCTAGATCCATCACACCCTTGTCTCTCCTGGCCTCTAGACCCATCACACCCTTGTCTCTCCTGGCCTCTAGACCCATCATACCCTTGCCTCTCCTGGCCTCTAGACCCATCACACCCTTGTCTCTCCTGGCCTCTAGACCCATCTCACCCTTGTCTCTCCTGGCCTCTAGACCCATCACACCCTTGCCTCTCCTGGCCTCTAGACCCATCACACCCTTGTCTCTCCTGGCCTCTAGACCCATCACACCCTTGTCTCTCCTGGCCTCTAGGCCCATCACACCCTTGTCTCTCCTGGCCTCTAGACCCATCACACCCTTGTCTCTCCTGGCCTCTAGACCCATCACACCCTTGTCTCTCCTGGCCTCTAGACCCATCACGCCCTTGTTTCCTTGTTGCTATGTCTGCCAAACTGGTTCCTAGATTCACTTTCCTTCCTGACCGAGCTCCAATCTATATCCCTTCTCTTAGCCTTGCCCCTCCGATGGGGCGGCAGTTTCGGGACTAGATACGCTCCAATGATAACCAGAGTAAATAACCCGATCTGTAAGAGGAATATGGGGTGTTGTGCTATCACCTCCAGCTCCTGCCCGGTATTCTGTCTGGAGATAGCTTCCTTGATGGTGTGGTAAAGTCCCTGTGTGGTGAACGCTAGCAGAATCAGAGCTAACATTATGGTGGGTACTATCCGAGACAGCTCCATTCTCTCTCTCTCTCTTCTTCAGATTGGTGGTGAACTGCTACTGATGTGCTTTTGAGAACAGTTTGTGAAGTGGTCCTCAGATCGTGTCCCCAATGCAACTGTAGCGAGAGTAAAAAAGTTGAGGAAACTAAAAAAAAACTAAATATTCTACACGTAAAAACCCTGCCCATGAATTTGGAACTCTACTCAAAAGACGAATTCATTGACATCGGATACATAACAAAGTTTAGCAATATAAGCAGATAAGTCAGTAAAAAGGGGACTATTTTAAATTAGGATAGTTTGCACCCTCTTCTCTGATCATTAAAAGTTCATTTATGGTGGTTATATCCCAATTATGTAGTGACACCGGTGCTGGAAGTAATGTAGCATATCCTCTATCACCTTGTCACTAGGTTCACTGTCGCTGGCTCATTACCGCTAATCTTGACTCTTGAGATACATCGTCTTTTTCCTCGACTGCAGAGAAATGTCTCTTGAAAAGGAGGGATCCGTCCAGCAGTACACTAATTAACTGATGTATCTAAATCACAAATAATACAGACTCATCATTATATATCATTTACTTGTGTCAATTAGTATTATACACTCAGCCTTTTCTTATCATCTACATTCTAGAATACTGAATAGGAAGTCTCTTCCTCCTTTATACTTATCTACCAAATCAATTAGGAAAAAACTTAAATTAATATACCTCCAACCATCGACCAGCTCGAATGTAACTTGAAGAAAGTCAGGTACACACACGCCTAACAAAGATTATAATAATATAAGACCCCTCTTCTAATTGGCAATTACTTTGTAATCATCCGGCTATTAGAAATATCTAAGTTAGATAAGTACGACATTTAAAAAACCTCGAACGTTCAATAATTTGATTTATTTTATAACTTTAAACCAGAATTCACGGTAAAACCACTTGATGGCCTGCTCTGAGAGTCAAGTAACCACTAATAGTAACCTTAGTAACCGCTAATAGTCTGCGGATGGGGAGATGATTGCCTCAATTAGACGAACAGTTACTCTCAAAGTTTGGCAAACTCTCAGTTCTGTTACCAGTGAAAGCAGGATTAATGAACGAATAGTGTGACATTGGGTTCTCAACCATGGAAATTTAAAAGTCTCTACATGCTGTTCTTTCTGGCTCCATATGCTAGTTAGGGGTCTGAGGTATCCGAAAAATCATGTTTTGGGTACCCAAAGTGTTCTGGGTGCCAGGAATGAGGTTATTAAAGCGGCGAAAATGACCGGTTTTGGACTATTTATGAGCTTTTTTGCCCATTTTCATGAGATAAAGAATCAGGAAAGCTGCTCTAGATGATTGCAATGGTTGATACCAATGAGGATACGCCCAACACACATAAATATTCGTGATATATGTGATTTTAATGAGGAAAATATGATCTCAGGGCCCATTTTATACCAAAATTTGCCAAAACCATTCGCACTTGTCAAAGCTTCCTCATTTTAGACACATTTAATGATTATTATGGTATCTAACTTATGGTGGATCTGATAGGAGTATGTCTTAGCTTCATTTTAAGCCATCAATGAGCATGCTGGTGTGTATGAAAGTACTTTAATCCTCCCGTCCATTGATCATATAGTCTGGGCCATGCGCGCGCGCGCGCGCTTGTTACAAGCATGAATTTTCTCCCTCAGTATCTATCTAAAGCTTTTAAAGACATGATTAGAATGCTATCCTACTCAGCACATGAGTGCTACAGGATGGTGAAAGAATTTCCATGAAAAATCATTAAATGTGGAAGATATGAGGTCATATGTGTGTGCGCGCGCGCGCGCGCGCGCGCTTGTTACAAACTTGACATCCTCAGAACTTTCACATTTACTGAGATTTTGTTTCAAACTTAATTGAACCTGAACCGAAATTGCCAGAGGAAACAGATAGTGTAACTCAGAAAGACCACAAATGGATAGTTTGTGAGATATTGAGGTTATACTCCTAAAAATTTACAATGATGTCACACCAGAAAACCCCTATTTTTGGTATATTTAACCTCATATCTCGAACGCGCAGTACTGGATTGAGCTAAACTTGGTCAGGTTTTGTAGCCCTGACTATCCTCGATCATATGGAACAGGAATAAAACTGTTTAGATGTTATATCTTAATTATATTAGGCACTTAGTTCTGAAAAGTGAGAATGTCATTAATACTGCTTTCACTGTTACATGTTATGACATTAGGTGGCCAGCTTTAGACGTTTAAGTGGTAATAAGAGTCGTGCTGAGATATTGGTATGAGGCTATGTTATTGTTGTTGTTGTTGTTGTTGTTGTTGTTGTTGTTGTTGTTGTTGTTGTTGTTGTTTTTGTTGTTGTTGTTGTTGTTGTTGTTGTTCCTGTTTGTTTTCTATAGTGTTCTCAGGTTAAGTAGAGTTAGAGTTGGTGTCAATTAAACTCTCCTCAATTATATGTATTTCAAACTCCTAATATAATACCACAGTTTCAATCACAATATCATTAATATTATTAGCTGTGTTAAGTGTTTCAGAAGTTATGGCATTGTGCCAACTCTCACAGTGTTTTTAATTTCCCACTTTACAATATCTTACACCATTACCGTTACACATCCCTGTTAATTGAAACACTACCTGTTAACCATTAACTGTTAATCTATAGAGTCACGGGATTGTTAACATTTACCGCATATTTCCTGCGTAATTAGCCTAATGCCATGTAAACGACCGTGTTTATACACAAATATGTAGTTGTGATATTTGTGCGTTGTTGTGTCTTTTTGTATGTGACTTCTCCTCCTTGGCAGTGCTTGTGCTGTTTTATCATATTGTACCCATAATTTAATTAATCATTCAATTATGCTAACAATATGTGACCACAACTGAACATTTCCTTGCGAATAATCCTGTATCAGTACCTTAGTACGTGATTTACCTCCTCGTACGTTACTCTCTGCCTTCTCATGTAGTTATCACGGAGAGTGGGGGGGGGAGACGTTTTCAGTTCTTTAGTCAGAGCGGCTGTAATGTAGCAGCTGAGGGCGCTCTGTTCAGATCACGTCTTGTTTTCTCTGTTGTCACTTGTTTGTTTAGTGTCTTGTTTCCCTGTTATGTATAGATGGAGACTTAGCAGCTAGTTGTCTAGTTATTTAGTTGTTTATGTTGAACTATACAATACACAGAATCTTAATTTCAAAGTCTGGTCCTAAACACTTCAGCGACTTGTCTATAAATTAGACCACTAGACTACTAAAGTCTATTTACCTAAAGTAGACTTGCTCATTTCAATTACGGTTCTACGTCTGATATATTAACCTACTCCAGCAGCTAACTAACTCCCTCTCTCTCAGACGAAGAAGAGATAGACAGACGACGTGACACACTACTCCGCGAGTATAACCTGATAGGAGACGAGGAGTACGAGGCTGGGGAGCGAGTAAGAGAACAGCTCCGTGCTGCGCGGCTCGCTGCTCTAGATACTAAACCTGGTCCTTCTGGGGTTGTGACGTCATCAGATATCAAGGTTACAGAGTCAGTATCTCATGAAGATGTTAACGTGACGTCATCAGATGTTAATGTGACATCAGCAGATGTTAACGTGACGTCATCAGATGTTAACGTGACGTCATCAGATGTTAACGTGACGTCATCAAATGAAACGGAGACGTCCGTCTCATCAGAAAGCCTTGTACACGTGCAACTAGAGGACACTGCCACCACTGCCACCACTGCCACCTCTGCCACAGATAATATGACTGAAGATAACCCTTTTTCCGCGCTGACGAAGGAAGAGGATAAGATAGAGGACGTGAATCAGGACGGCCTGAGATTGCGGAATGTTGGCAGCGAGCCAAGAGAGGATTAGGGGTAACTGTAGTCAAGGCTGTTATAATCACGGACGGGTTGTAGAGACCGTTTAGAGAGGTACCTTTAGTTTGGGTTCACCCAGTTGCCTTGCACTTAGCTTAGATTTATCCGGTTAACTGTATTAATTAAATGATCTTCTAACAGATTACTCGTCTCCTGATCTGGGGTAGAATATTCTGGTATTCTGGCTGTATTTTCTAGCTTTTCTTTCTTTCTGCGCAGTATGATATTTTCTATTCCTTCTTTCAGACTGGGGTTTGGTTTAAAGTTTCCAGTTTAATTTGTTGAATACTGATTTTTCTCATTGCATATTTTAGAGAATTTTGTTATGAATGATGTTAATTGTGCGATTTTAAACAACATTTTGAAATCCCATTTCATGGTTCTAGTTTCACTCTAATCTAAATAAACTTTATTTATATAATATTCTGATTAAGGACATAATAATAACTTTTAATTAACCCCTATAATAACTCTCAATTAACCCATTAATTAACCAATAGAACTCATCTCACATTCTCCTTTAGCCTGATGTTTAAGCCGCCTAGTTATGGACGACAGTATAAATTCAGACGTGAACGAGCGTAACAACGGAACTATTTCCACCCTTCAACTTATTGACTCAGGTGAGACACCCAACATACCTTCTAATTCACATCTTTAATTAGGTTTTAAATATAATTGAGTTTCAAGTTTTAAATAGTTACTTTTTGAGTGGGTGAGTGCAAAGTTCGTGGGCGTAAAGTGCGGTTGTCTCACCAAATGCATCATAAGCACTTTGTTCTCCGTTTTGTCTGGGTTAAATGCAATATTTTACGAGCACTGATCACGATATGTAAGAATATATTGTTGCTCCTAATTGCTTGTAAATTTAAAGGTAAAATACACATTCTGCACTGTTGGCTCTTGTTGAGTTCGTTGAGAAAAGGTTCAGTCCAGAACAGGAAATACAAGTTATCGTCTTTCTTATCACTCTTTCCCTGTCTTGAATCCTTTATTTTTCCACCGAATATTCTTTTATCTAGCTGATAATAAGACTAAGATAAAACTGTGTTTCTATTTTGGGCTCCCACACGTTATAATGGTATTGCAAGTCGAACTGTTGAATACGAGTTTGTAAGCTTTAAATTTCCATCTTGAATTTCTGAGAAAAGGTCTGCGCTACTTCCTGTTTTTTTAATTTTCACTGAAATTCACACGCGTAAGTTTTAGTTTTGTAATAAGAAGTGAACTGGAACACTCAGCTCGGTGGTTATTAAGTTTAGATAAACTGGTATTGTAGCAGATAAGCAGGTCTGTGGCTAGTAATTTTATTTTTTTCTATTTTGGATCTTCTGTGAAATACCCTAATGATAGAGGGTTTTATATTACAAGCTTTTCAGTGATTTTCCCGTTTGTTTCTGCGATTGTAACTTTAGTAATTTATTATATTACATCATGCCATAAATATCGTCTGAGTTTATTAATACATATTTTAATTTGTATTGAAGCATAACCGTGCCAGATCGTAATTTAAATTAAGTGCATGCTTTTATTTTGCAGTTAGTTATTTTGTAATGCAGTCGTATGTTATTCTGAAAACGTTTAAATGTCGGATAACACTAACTCTTTGCTGACCTTCCTTAATGAAACGTCTTGCGTATTGTACTCGTATTGTACTCTTATTGTACTCGTATTGTACTCTTATTGTACTCGTATTGTTCTCGCATTGTACTCGTATTGTACTCGTATTGTACTCGTATTGTACTCGTATTGTACTCGTATTGTACTCGACAAAATATAAACGTTTTTGGAATTATCAACGACAAATTTAAGGAGATTACCAAAGGTTATTTTAAGTCGTCGTGTCACTTAAATGTTTCCATGCAAATTTAAATGTCTAGTATTCTAGTATCTTCATGAACATTACAACGTAAAAGCTTCTGTAATAAGCTTTCAAGTTGAGCAAATATCATTTTAAAAATTTTTTAAGCCCCATCTTAAGTGCTATTGAGATTAATAATATCTGTCTGAATTTAATGTGATTAACTAGATTATAATGTAATTTGATACTCTTAGAGGTCAATAATTCTCTCAATAATTTCTCCTTTCATTTCTAATATGTCGCAGAACTGCTGTAGTTTTGTCACTTCTCACGTTACCTAAAACGTGTTATTATAAGTATAAACAGTCTAGAATAGTCTAGATTTCTAGAAGTAGAACCTTCCTTCATTCAGTTTGTGCGATTGTTACCTTGCTAAGCATATTCCGTCATGCTATAAATATCGTATGAGTTATTAATACAGATTTTAATTTGTATTCGTACTGTTGTAGGTTCCATCATGTACTAAGTTTTATTAATAGTCTAGAAGTAGAAGTAGAATTTGCCAGAACTTCTTTATGACATAATTGACATGGTCTTAATCTGCGTCCTGCACTTACTATATAAGAGCCTCAGTATTGATCGTTACAATTTTGAGTTTGATCGGTTTTGTTTCGAAAGCTGTGGAAATGCTACCGTCGTTCGGAATTTTGAGCACTTCCTAATTATTCCATTCATGAAAATGTTTGATGCTACTCTTCAGATTTAATTGTTGTTTTTCGAATTGTAATCGATGTATTGTTACTTATGTACAGCAATGTTAACATATTGTATTCGAGCTTTTCATTTAGAATTGAAATATGTGCATATTTTAAATGTACTAATATGTTTTCTTTTTTGAAGCAATACCTGTTACTATGAAGTTTATTGGTGAGCAGCTTGGTGCCCATGAAGCCTCAACCTGGGGATGTGAGTCCTTGTGTTCTGTAATTTGTAATTTGTAATTTGTAACTTGTAGTTTGTAATTTGTAATTTTGGTTGTGAAACATAATCATTAATCACGATCAGTTGTTGTTGATTATTTGTGGCGTTGTGATATCCTTCTCTGCTGAACATCACTTATAATATATATAATAAGGGTAGTCTCTTTTGTGATTCACGCTAAATTTAGTGTGGCGTGTATGTTGAGTGTTACAATGCTAGTACACTGTACGCTGTACACTGTATATTGTGTACTGTACAGTACAGCAGTGTACAAGATGGTTTATATGAAACTACGAGCTAGACTAAGTGTTCTCTAAGTGCCCATGATTCCAACTATTACATTGTAATTACGTACAGTGTGTACGCGGCCTGGTGTACGCAGTAATCATTATATTTCAGGGACTTCAAACCCAAAATAGAACATTTAATTTGAATGATATTGATCGTTATTTAATATTCAATATAGGAAGGTTTATTCCTTTTATAGATTCATCATAAATATATTCTCATTGGATTCATTCGAATCTCTCCACGACCAATAGCTTACTGGGTTAAATTATGATCAGTTAAATTTTAATCGATTAATTGTAACCATCTAAAAAGTATATTAGACAGTAAATGTAAGCACACAAACAATCACTCAATCTAAAACTGCTACTATTTCAGCTCATATAGTATCAAGTGCTGTACTAGTAATCCTACACAATGTCCTACTCCTACTTCTAACCCTACTCCACCTCATCGCTGGTTATGTATACATTACTCTGCAGTGGCTCTGTCTTTACACTCCTGTAGTTATTCAGGTAACTATTGCTACTTCTACTTCTGTGTACAATAAAATATCCCTTATGTATAACACGTACAATTGAGTGAGCTTATTAGTAATTTATATAGTGTATATTATTGCCTTTACACTATAACTAGCTAACTAACTTGTGTATTATTTTCTTTACACTATAAATAGTGTATATTATTGTCTTTACACTATAAATGTGTATATCATGGTGCGGAAGTTAAAACAAGAACTGTAAATACCAGGTTCCACATAGGATGGTGCTCATGTTAGTTGACAATGAGCCCCCCCCCCTCTCCTCCAATGTTGTAATGTTCTATTGTCCAAAAAGATAAGAATGTTGTGAACATAAGATTGGCAAAGTGCCAAGTTTCTGGCTGTGTCCTCTTGATTTAGAAGTAGAACTTCAAGTTCTGGACCGTTTTAACTTTAACTGAAAATGTATTCACGTTATCCCTGAAAGGATATTATGGTCCCGCTATAATCAATATATCATACGATAAATGGAATTTATCAGATCACAATATGGGAGCTGGTTGAGAGTTCAGTGTTTCACAGTAAATATCTAATTAGTTAATTATCCAATTAGTTAATTAATCACTAACCTCGTATCTTTCAGGGTGTAGGATGGGTGTTTAGCTCCTTGTTCTCCGTCACCAGTCAAGCTGACGATGTGATATTATCTCTATCTGACTCATTGTATCACGTGATAGATTCCTCCCTTGATACCCTCGCTACCTGGACTGTTGAACTACAGATACTGTTACCTTACTTTGTGGCAGTTCCTTTCCAGGTATGAGTTATAGGAGTTTAATTAATATTATGTTATTTAATGTATATTTTATTAACAGTTTTAATTAATTAGTATAACAGTTTATATACAGTTATTTAGATAAACTTAATCACCTTAGAAGTATATTTTTATAAACATTAGGATTTTCACCCTTTGACTTTTACTGTGGCTTCTTTTTGCAGCGAATCACTTGCAGCCGCTGCAATGAATCGTGCTGCAAAGCCACGGAAAACATAATGTGGTAGTTATACTACCGTAGTAGTAGTAGTACTACCACTTATACCCATTAAAACATGTCTGACTAGTGACGAATTATAATGCATTGCAATATACAAATTAATAGAAAACCTTTACCGCATATTATGATGAAGTGTTATTTTCCGTTAATAAAATAATAATAATAATAAAAGTGTCAGCCTTGTCCTCTTGACGTGGAACTTCAAGTTCTGAAAGGGATATGATTGGTCCGCTATAATCAATATATTATAAGATAAATGACTGGAATATAATTAAATAGTGAAGAATTAATTATCTCTCCAACAAAACAACGTTACATAATTTCAGTAATATAGCAAGCTATATCCTCATGCTCTGTAGACCCTGAAATATGTTTTATTGTCTCTTTAACCCTTAGTTTTCTTTGGAGCTCCAGACAAAATACTCCGCAATCATTTCTAAACTACATTCCAATGATGGTCATCAGCCTAGAATGAATTATAGATATCTCATGTCAGGACGAATCACGTTTGACGTCTTGTTCGTGATTTTTCTTGTTCCCTCCCGGCCCAAATAGATGGAGTCCAGTGATTGCACTCTTTTCCTTTTCTCATTTGGTTTAAATCTCTTCTAAGCTTCCACATTCCAGCCTTAATTTCGGAAACTCGTTAAATTAGAAGTAGTATAGTTTAGTAGTATATTAGTATAGTATAGTGATTACAACTTAGCCAGTTTGTAACAGTAAATCTCTACATCGCTCTAGTATGTTCCGCATAGTGTAACTCTAGTATTGTGTAACACTTATCAACTGTCTGTGTGTAATGTTCACGTTGATAGCATTGACACAGCATATTACTTTATGTTACTTCAAGGACGCCTTACACAATTACATATTGCAGCACCTCGTCTCTCTATTAATATAACAGAACATATGTTCTAACGTTCTCTCAGTATTCAGGGCTTTTTAGAATATATTACAGTGGTGTAATGGCATAGTACGTGTTAAATAAAACACGACTTTTAGATTTCCGTTGTACCTTCCTTTTAATCTAATCAATATATGAGGTAAGGTAAAAAGAGTGGTTTGACCGGTTTGTGACTTCTAGTAACTTCTAGTACCGCTCACTTCAAAATTACATAATTACACTTCATAAGGGGGGGGGGGATCATGTTTTTTTGTCCGTTTTTGTCCGTTTGGCAGCTATATTTTCAAAACGGACAAAAAATAAAGCGGACAAAAACGGACAAAAACGGACAAAAAATAACAAAAATTGAAATAACATTTAGATGCTTCCTCCTCCTCCTCCTCCTCCTCCTCCTCCTCCTCCTCCTCCTCCTCCTCCTCCTCCTCCTCCTCCTCCTCCTCCTCCTCCTCCTCCTTCTCCTCCTCCTCCTCCTCCTTCTCCTCCTCCTCCTCCTCCTCCTCCTCGTCCTTAGTCCTCTTTATCAGTCCTCATCAGTCCTCATCAGTCCTCCTCCTCCCCAGTCCTCCTTTTGGGGCCTTTTCCTGGGTCCTCCTCCTCTTGGGTCCTCCTCCTCATCCTTCTCCTTAGTCCTCCTCCTCCTCAGTCCTCCTCTTGAGTCCTTCTTCTCCTCCTCCTCCTATTCATTCCTCCTCCTCAGTTCTCCTTCTCAGTCTCACTCCTCCTTCTCAGTCCTCCTCCTCCTCTTCTTCCTGGTTCCTCCTCTTGGGTCCTCCTTCTCCTCCTCAGTCCTCCTCCTCTTCCTCCTCTTCCTGGGTCCTCCTGATCCTCCTCAGTCTTCTTCCTCCTTCTACTCCTCAGTCCTCCTCCTGCTCAATCCTCCTCTTCCTCCTAAGTCCTCCCCTCCTCAGTCCTCCTAAGTCCTCCCCTTCTCAGTCCTCCTCCTCATCAGTCCTCTTCACCAGTCCTCCTCCTCAGTCCTCTTTATCCTCATCCTTTATCTCCTTTCTCCTCCTCATCCTCCTCATACACCTCCTTCTCCTCATCAGTCCTCCTCCTCACTCCTCAGTCCTTCTCCTCCTCCTCCTCCTCCTCGTCCTTAGTCCTCTTTATCAGTCCTCATCAGTCCTCATCGGTCCTCCTCCTCCCCAGTCCTCCTCATGGGGCCTTTTCCTGGGTCCTCCTCCTCTTGGGTCCTCCTCCTCTTGAGTCCTTCTTCTCCTCCTCCTATTCATTCCTCCTCCTCAGTTCTCCTTCTCAGTCTCACTCCTCCTCAGCCCCCCTCCTCTCCCTCCTCAGTCCCCCTCCTCAGTCCCCCCTCCTCCTTTTCCTCTCTTTAATCTCTCAATAATTTGTTCAATTTATAATTATTGTTGGTGTTATTGTTAACATAATTTATTGTTATATACTAAAATGTTTTTAAGCGCATTTGAGTCTGACTCAAAATGTGCTCAAGAATCTTTGTGTTTAACAAAGTTTTACTCTCCAGTAATAAAACTTTTCATCCCTTTTTATGTTATTAAAAAATGTGTAGACTATTCTTTGTGCCTAATTGAAGATTAAAAGTTTGAGAAAGGACCATGGTCATTAACCGGGCTACCCATTTCTGCAGATAGCCTGTTACAAATTGTGGAGAAAATTTAAATCAAAAGTTACAATTTTTGTCCGTTTTTGTCCGTTTTTGTCCGTTTGGCAGCTATATTTTCAAAACGGACAAAAATTAACGGACAAAAACGGACAAAAACGGACAAAAAATAACATGATCCCCCCCCCCCCTTCATAATCACATTATTATATATGTTCCCAGCATGGCCCCCACCCTATACTACAGAGTCTGGTTCAGCATTTTAGCTTGTTTCGTGTTGGATGAGAGTATGTCTTTGAATTTACTGTACCGCGATGAAATAGCCTACCAGGTAATAATTAAATAATAGTGATCAATAGTTAATAGTTATACATATTTTGATGTACTATTACTAATTCCTTGAATAGTGTTTGTACTCTAGTAGCTGAGTGTATATTTTGTTTATTTGAAAACTTAAGCAGCTTAGTTCTCTCCTTTTAAATGATAAAGCCACATGTTATATCTGTAGTATACTGTTATCATAGTACTATATCCTGACAATAAATTCTCTTAGTACTATCTTATCTCCTATAAAAAAACTTTGACAATGCATCACAGCAAGATACTATGTCATCATAGTTGTTGAGTGCCAATGGATCTACCAAAATAGGTTTATATTATCTCTTACTATGTGACACTTCTTATCTGTCTCCGACTTATCAGATAGTAAGATATCTCTGACTGACCAGTGACCAATGATTATTGCCTTTAAAGGCTATTAATTTGTCGAGTCAATACCCACCGTTCTTAACTGAATAACTGTAGAGTTGTTAACTGAATAACTGGTCAGGAGATACTGACTACATTATGTAACGTCTGAAACCAAGGTCGGGTAGTAGGAGCAGCCCTTCAAATGTCATACTCCGCAAGCAACCCTTCATTTTGTAATATCGCCAGCATCAGTTTCATGTAGTCTCAGCTTGTTCGCCCTCATTGTATAGTTGTGTCAAACCAATCTAATAACTTTAATGTACATGGTGAGGTAATTGCTTATTGACTACACAAGACAACTTTTAATATTTTCATTCTTAACATTCTTCATACTTTATGCAGATGATGCAAATATCATTATTAAAGGTTCCAATGTCCAAGAACTAATGCTAAGGGTCAACCAATTAACGGAAACATTATCACGGTGGGTTAATAGCAACGGATTAGCACTAAATCTAAAAAAGACGTGTTATATGATTTTCTCTAAAAAGCGCATAGAACCATCATTGATTAAAGTACAAATAGAAAATACAGTATTAGAACGTAAAACTGAAGCCCGGTTTCTTGGTGTAATTGTAGATGAAAAGCTTAACTGGAGTAACCACATAAAAGCACTGAGGAGCAAGATGTCAAGATTTATTGGGGTGATGTACAGGATAAAACATAAATTGCCAATGAAGGCCCGTTTACAGATTTTCCAAAGTTTTGTTCAGTCCCATTTAAACTTCTGCTCACTTGTATGGGGATTTGCTTCAAAATCTCTTATAGAATCTCTTTTTGCTAAACAAAAACGAGGTATGAGGGCAGTTATGGCTGGAAATGTGAACTACTACTACAAGGACGGAAAACTGCCAGAGCACACAAAACTAGCATTTAAAGAACACGAGGTCTAAACCGTTCAAGGGGTTATCGTTAACAACGCACTTATTTTACTGCACAAAGTTCGAAATATGTCTAGTTTGTTACCTAAATCGATTTCAGAACTTTTCCCTCCTAACACACCCAAACAAGGAACGACACACGAACAAAACTTAGACTGGTTATCAATTTACTCACAGACTGACCTGAGATCTAGCATCTTTTATAAAGGCCCAATGCTCGCTATTTCAGAGCATAACACTCGCATTACATGCCCATCCAGTATATTTTCTATCAACATATATAAGAATTCGTCAAAAAAAGTACTACTAGACTTGCAAAGTGCTGGCTGCAACGACGAATGGCCACCATTTTTACTCCACAACCTACCCGGATTACGTAAATCACAAAGAACATAGTCAATAATATTAATCACTCAAAACCAAACTCATACAGCTCAAATTAAACAATCTGAATCAGGACAACATTTCAAACCACCTGCCATTCTAACAGCACATTCCTTATTTCACTGCCACATAGCGCATATCTACACTGATAACACACCTAATTGCGGTGAGGCAGCATCATAAAGTTACTAATATCAAATATGTTTGCAGATCAGGGCCAGTCGACTCGACCAATAAAATTTTAATTGAATAGTTTTAATAGATAACATCACAATTATAATCTGCGTGCCCCTCGGGGATGAATATTTAACTTATTTCAATTATATATTACTTTTGAGTAAACATTGGCTGGTACTACGGACCAGTCCCCCAATCAATCAATAATCAATTTCCCTTTATTAATTTCCCCTATATTCCCTATCTCCCTAATTAATATTCCCACTCTATGTGTTACGTTATACGTATTTAACAGTAATGTATCCCCTCTAGGTGTTTTGTATTTAACAGTAACGCATCCCTATTAGGTGTTACGTATTTAACATTAACGTATCCCTATTAGGTGTTACATATTTAACAGTAACATATCCCCTGTATGTGTTACGTATCTAACATTAACGTATCCCCTCTAGGTGTTACGTATTTAACAGTAACGTATCCCTATTAGGTGTTACGTATTCTACTGGACTGGAGTAAGATAGTTGGCGGTGTGTTCACGTATCTTATACCAAGTGAATTCTACACAGCTCAAACAGTATCTTATCTTATGGAACTAAAGTTTGCTTTTCTCGACCTCTCTGGTGTTTCTTGGGTAATTAATTTACTTGCTTTATTTTGAATTCTAATTTCTCTCATGTTATAAATTATTCCACGTTTAACTCTAATTAATTTATTTTAATTAAAGTTTCTGTTTATGTGATGATTTACAGCACACGATAAACGTGTAGTGTAGATTATTGGTTATTTACACCATTGTGAGCTCGTGTTTTAGATTGCGTATAAACTATAAGTGTATTAGTGTCTACGGTTAGTGGTTACTTGGGATTATTCAGCTACTCATTTGTGGTTTTAGCAATAACGGAGTTATTACCCGAATATTGTCAAATAAACTTGTACCTGTATTTTGAAATAAAGGGGATTATTAATTATTAATTTCAGATAATATTGAAGTCAGTGATGGAGCAAAGCAGTAACTTTATCTTCAATACGCTGATAAGCCTGATAACGTCTGCTAAGTACATCACCTACTTTATTATACGGGCTCTACAGATATCATGCTGCCAGGTAACTACTTTACATTTGTTTAATATGTTGACATGTGATTGATATTGATAAGCTTGCGTAAAAATTGGAGATTTGTACACTGCAAGCTGTTAGGCGTTCTCGGCTGTATGGAAATTTCTACTGAAACTGACCAGAGTTTTAGAGAAATTTGAACAATATTTATTTCTTAATAAAGAGCTATCATTGTCGGGCCATATCACGTCACTCAATCAGTGACGATTAATTGATGATGTGCTCCAGTAGATTGACTTATAAACTATTGAGTCCCTCGCTAGAGTATAGTATAGTATACTATACATAGTATATAGTATACATATATACATAGTACATACTATGTATAGTATACTCGAGTAGTTCCGCGAAATAGACCCTGCTCCACAGCACTTGCTGGCAAAGCTTCAAAATGTAATAACTTTGCTGTCCCCCCTTTGTTTGACAAGCTTGATCGATACTCGGTGGATCTGATTGGACCATGAATGAACATGAACAAATTGTATAGTCATTGGCAACAGGTATTGTTATATAGCTCTTGTTGGATGATTGCAGATCAGAGGAGACTTGAGGACAGCAGTTTTACACAATTTTAACAAAAACTATAAGAACAATAGCCATCTTTAAAGCGCCAGCTAGAATTTCTTAGTCATAATGAGCGGCTTTAGCAGGCTTAGTGGGGCGTTAAACTTATCAATAATAATATTCTCGATGATAATCTTCTCGATGTTGAATATTTCTTATGGTCTGGCAGCCTAAACCTCAAATGTCGGTGAGCTTCTAAATTCTGATTATTATCTTATATCGTAATGCATCGTAGTAATTTTGTAACATTTCAATTAGAATAGACTTATTAGCTTATTGCTAGACGTTTCGTCTGAGTTTGAGCCTGAACTGAAGGGAGTTAAATGTTAATAACAAATTAAGCATATTCAATATTCATGGCGAATCATAAACGGTGATGAATTGTACTACTGCAGTGTCAGGGAAAAGAGCTAAAATGTAACACGCTATATCTACTGATCTTGTACAAAGCACACAAATTACCATTGTGAGCACATTTACTGCGCGCCACGTTGACGAGCGTTTTGTTTTGACGCGCAAACGGACACGTCTCGCAGTCCCAAAATAGCAAGTACAAATAAATAAGTGGTCTTTAAATTTTGAATGATCCATTTACAATAGACGTATGTTTCAATTTGGAACGTTGGTAAATTGGTCAGGTAATTGGTACACTGAAGACTCTCATTTCGAAGAAAAAACATTGAGCTATGAACAGCTATATTCTGCCTATCGTATTGTAAACCAGACATCAAAATTAAAACTCAAAACTAATGTTACAATTTTCTGAAGTGTTCTTTTCAATTTTCTGAAGTGTGCTCTCCTCGGCCTACACTCACTTATCCTCATTTCGTAATATCAGATGGTTAATCCCTTAAATAAACAAGTTAAATAAAGTTCTGCTCAGCACCACAAAATACATCCAATTCAATAGCAAACAGATAAAAGTAAAGCAGTCAATGTCACTCCAGCCGCTGGCACTTTGAACTTTAACAATTCGTCGACCCTGAAATTTTATTGGTTGTTGCTGACAATAAAATGTAAAATAAGTACATACCAAAACGCACCTTGTGAAAGTAGAAAATTACTCTGAAAGTTTTCGTACAGCTTACCATCGGCTGGCGGCGGTCGAAGCGATGCAATGCATCATAATAAACCCAAACTCCATTCGTTGCAACTCAGCTTTATCTTCTGCCCCGATGGGAATGATAGCGATAGCTTTGTTTTTCAGGGAGCATAGTTTCTGTACCGCCACACCGCCCATCCTAACCAGTAAGAATATTCAATCTAACAAAGTAACACACGTACACTACCACACAAATATAACGTACAGCAAGATTAGAGGCAAGTCTACACAGGATATCAAACAATAAGGGTAAATCCCGTGATCAAAGAACTATTGGCATGAGAACAAAACCAAAACAACGACCAGCGGCTAGATGGTTGTTTAATATTACCAACGTTACAAGCGTGACTCACAAACAAAAGCCATATAATGAGGGCTATTCAAACAACAAACTACCTCTGTATCAAGCAGTCTCTGTTTTAACTGGTACTACACAATCCAGAGTATAGTCATAATACAGCATATACATTCCAAGTGGTAAGGCACAGAAAATGTCATAACAATCGTCTTCCTATATATTTGCTGGAATGTTGCGTACTACAGACAAACCTGATGTATGCAGATAATTTGTGACAGTTCACCGCAATAATAATATTATTGGCCTATCTGATTCAATAATCAAACTGTCAATTTACGGCTTAAGGGGGGGGACAATGGATATTTTTTTGTGAAACTTGATTTCGAGATAGCAGTTGACCAACAAACTAGGACCAGTGACCGAACTTTTGAGGGGGTCCCGGACCCCAACCGCCAAACGGTGCCCGCGGGGCAGCCACGCCCATATTTGGTCCAAATAAGGCCCAATTTAGCCAAATACCCTAAACATGCCCAAAACCCAGATTTTAGGTGCTCTACTTGTAGCTAGTGGTCTCCTGAACTCGTATATGAAATTTCATCAAGATTGGACAAAAAATGACTGAGTTATGGGCCAAAAACCATATGCCCATATTTGGGCATACGCACCAAATTTGGTAGATTTCGTCCCATAAATTGGGCAAATATCAATATTTTTAAACGAAACTTACTTTATATGAAAGGTAAGCCTAAACTACATATTCTTTGTAAGTTATAGCTTTTTATCACGCTTTCGAGCCAAATTTAGCAGGAAAGCAGAATTGATATTACATGCCCCGATGGGGAGCACTGGCTCTCACCCGGGGGCATGAAATATCAATCAGTTACTCAGAGAGAGCCCGATATTCCCATAGGAACAAGGAGCCCACTCTCAACAACTGTTCTACTACTGCGAGGTACTGATTTAAATAAAGATTTAAATCGACAACCTGAAGTAGTCTATGACCGTTAATGCAATGATCAGGTAAGCTTTCCAGGATAAGGAAAAATTTAAATTTATACCTGGTTTTGAAAATATTTCCTTGTGTTTGAGATGCGTCAAGCAAAATAAAATTTTTTGTTGTAAAACTTTTTCAAGCTGTTCCCTTTTTATTGCACTTTATAGTTCAAAGCCTAATTAGGCTTCGGATGATGAAACAAAGTAAAAACTCCCTGGCTTGTACGAGCTTGAAGTGACTTAAGGTTATTGAAAACGAGATCAAAGTTTACAAGCAGACTTGAAAGTTTCACAAAGTTTTGGTACTTGTCAGCGATACAATCAATCAGGATGATTAATTTCCTTAATCGCTTACTCGAAATTAAAAAGGAAGTGTCAGAACAAACTACAGTCACCCTCACAAAAAATAGTAAACACTAGACGATGTTTGATTAATTCGAACGAAGAAAACACACAAAACAAAGCCAGATTTCAGACCTCAATTTTAACCCTAAGATGGCAAGTACGTACGGTACGTACCTTTAAATTAGCTGTACGGTACGTACTTAATAAAGTAGGCTGAAAGGTACAAATCCAGTTGATAGCAATGGACAAGCGTAGATTAAGGTTGCGACCTGAGCTAGCTGAAAAGCTGGTGTTCGTATACTGCAACAAAAGGATGAAGCTTTGAGTTTAACGATAATTACAAGTAGTAGTAGTGCTTTGGTGAGATTTATAACTAACGTTTGATCAAATTCTGCTTTCCAGGCCAAATTTGGCTCCAAATAATGGCAAATAATGGCAAGTAAAGATGTATACTGACTAAGAACTAAGCAGAATACTTGATAAGATTCTAAGTCAACGATTACAAGTTGCATTGATTAAATCATTCTGAAATAACAGACAATCAAGAATCAAGACGGACGATAATATTGTTGATGTAAATTAGGGTGTGCAGTGTATAATGTGGACTGATAAATAGACACTAATTATGACCCCACAGCTCTATTCAAATACAAGAACCAGGAAATTCTTTCACCTTATCGCAGATACAGATTATACGATAAGGACTGTGATGTATAATCAACACTTAAACGGATGTTCTATACATTATACTGCATCTACAGTTTTAATGACTCTAAAAATATCTAATAGAAATAAAGTATTATAATCACCTCACATCAATTGATTTGCAGGATGTAATTACGTATCAAACGCGCTCGCGGCGGAATATTCTAGACACATAAGTACAAGACCCATAGGCGGAAAACACATTAATATCGCATGCACTACGTATCAATAGAAAGCAAATTGGGCGCGGCATACAGCATTCACTGTGTCATAAATGTGGGAACGTGAGATCCTAATTTTACGTATTGTATCTTCGATATCTGAAATACTAACTTATCGAGAGCTATATATAGCTTGGACATTATAAACATAAATAAGTTCGACATGTCTAGTTTTGCTTTGGTGAGATTTATAACTAACGTTTGATCAAATTCTGCTTTCCCGGCCAAATTTGGCTCCAAAGAAAGTGTGATAAAACATTAATCACATGCCTTCTCATGCGATATCAACATTTTCAAAACTCGGCAAGCCTCGTGATTGAAAATGTCGATATAACCCTCGGCAAGCCTCGGGAAATATCGAAACTTTCGCTAACTCGGCAAGCCTCGTGGGCGAAAGTTTTGATATCGCATGAGAAGGCATGTGATAAATGTATAATATCTGTTTAAATGTGGATACTAAGGCGGAAAACCCACAAAAAATGAACTAAATTGCTCGTATCTTGGTTCGCGATATTCGCGGAATTGATCTCATTAAAATTGTAACAACTCAATCAGTTTTCAAAATTTTTCCATGAAATTTTCGGAATCGACTCGAAATCGCATTTCCACCTTATTTTGAGAACAGATTTTTGATTTAGGCCTCCAAAAAAATTTGGCGGCCAAATTCCAAAATTTTCCCGGAAAAATTCAGAATTTGGCCGCCAAATTTTTTTTGAGGCCTAAATCAAAAATCTGTTCTCAAAATAAGGTGGAAATGCGATTTCGAGTCGATTCCAAAAATTTCATGGAAAAATTTTGAAAACTGATTGAGTTGTTACAATTTTAATGAGATCAATTCCGCGAATATCGCGAACCAAGATACGAGCAATTTAGTTCATTTTTTGTGGGTTTTCCGCCTTAGTATCCACATTTAAACAGATATAAAGCTATACCTGATAGAGAATATGTAGTTTAGGCTTACCTTTCATATAAAGTAAGTTTCATTTAAAAATATTGATATTTGCCCAATTTATGGGACGAAATCTACCAAATTTGGTGCGTATGCCCAAATATGGGCATATGGTTTTTGGCCCATAACTCAGTCATTTTTTGTCCAATCTTGATGAAATTTCATATACGAGTTCAGGAGACCACTAGCTACAAGTAGAGCACCTAAAATCTTGGTTTTGGGCATGTTCAGGGTATTTGGCTAAATTGGGCCTAATTTGGACCAAATATGGGCGTGGCTGCCCCGCGGGCACCGTTTGGCGGTTGGGGTCCGGGACCCCCTCAAAAGTTCGGTCACTGGTCCTAGTTTGTTGGTCAACTGCTATCTCGAAATCAAGTTTCACAAAAAAATATCCATTGTCCCCCCCCCCTTAATAACCAGTCCAATAAAGCCTGGTATTGCAAATATATCTATCGTATTGTCACGCAAATGTAGCTGTACAACTATACAATGTGCACAACATTGCGCTACTCCCATTACTCAATATCAACTGATGACGCAAACTGTTCATGTACATTGTACAGGAGAGGTGGAAGATGAAAGCGAAATCTAAAACCTACTCAACAGAACTAATCATCATAATATCAGTGCGCTTATATTCATCAGAATACGAGCCTGATTTTACGTAATAACGGTTACGGATGTACCAGTTCTTGGAACAGATGGATAAGCATGCTACATAAATATATCATACGATTGTTATCTGAATTATCAGATGATACTGGTGATTTGCGGTTATTTCGATTGAGGCTGTCATAATTAATGTGCGGCAAATCTTCTATTTTTAGAATATCAGTAATTTGAGAGCGGTTGAAACCGACTCGGGGGAGGTTATAATGAAACAACTGCTCGTGTAGACTACCACAAAGACAGAATATAACGGAACTAAAACAAAGGCCAACATTAAACAAGTTATTCCACTATATCACAATGCTGGCGAATGTGGATAATAATAGTTACAAGGCACTCTAATAACACACAAACACAGACCACAACAACAGAATAGAGAGTAGAGGACTCTGGAAGCAACAGTTCCAGCACTCCAGCGGTCTTTAACTACCTAGAGTAACTAACACGATTATAAACTGGGCTCGGAGAAAGTGGTAGTTCAACTACCAGTCCACGAACAGTCAGTGTAAACAGATGGTGACAATGAAATACTGAACTAGGAGTGATATAATGCATTTAAACATATTATGCTATGTAATATATATTAACATTTAAATCTATTATGTTGAGGAAGAGTTGTGGTGAGGGTTAGCTGACGTTTGATATGAAATCGACAGTAAGGGTTGGTATTCGGCCGCGGAGGAGAACTTAAAGTCTGCTCGTAAAATCACTAAGCTCTTCTTTTCATCTGCAAAATCAAGCAGATCGTATCTAAATTTAAAAGAAAGAGTATGTGGACTGCAATGATTTACATAACAAATCACTAAAAATAGAAGGAAACTTGTTGTCTGTATAATGTATAATGTGTTTATTAGACACTCTCTAAAATGTATGACTATTTCCTGTAACGCAAAATTCAATGGGGTTCTTGATTGTCTTATTTAAAGGCAGAATTCTATGTGATCCGAATGTAGAAATGTCTGGTCTAGCAAAGTGTACTCTGTGTAAACTGTAACAAAACTAAATCGCTTGAAATAAATAAAGAAGATCTTACTAATATATGGACAGGAGTGCGTAATGCTTTGCCAGGTTAATTGGCAATTAGCTAATTGGTCTACAATATGCTCACAGGACTGGATAACATTTACCCCATTAGCTCTCATTGATATAATAGCATGTAAAGCACTTGTAGACAATTGTAAGCGGTGTTTTCTCCGCTTATCATGTCTGATAAATAGCCAGGTTGTCCAGTACCAGGAAGAAGCTATTTAATTACCTTACTAAGGGGTCGTTCACATATCACGTATTATGTGAACGACGTAATATGTGAACGACCCCTAACTACAGTATATTACATAGCAATGTATAAGACAGATATATAAGCACGCATATTTGAATACAGCCGTAACCAAGTCAAAATGTAAGCAAATCATATGAACAAGGGTACCCTATGAAAGTGGCGATATAACGAAGATTATCAAATAAAACGAAGATTTAAATATAGTCAAATTCCATTTATATTTGTTAATATTAATATAATTATTATGGAGTGGGACGAGTTATAATATTATTATATTTATTATCTTGACAGTTACTGTTGTAACTTAAGATATGAAATTTGTATTCATTGTATTCCTTGTATATGATCATATTAGGTATGTGTCTCAATTCTTAAGCAGTGATGACTAAAATATGATTAATCAAATCATATGCAACCAGCTAGCTGGAGACGGATGGTGGAATCTGTAGAATATGTAGAATATGCTGCATTGTTCCTAACCTTGTTAAACTTGGATAGTCAAAACTATTTTAGGAAATTACTGAAACCAATATATGAATTTATCAAACTATCGGAGAAAAATAGTCGTTAGACACAATACTGAAACTTTTGGACCAACTATGTTGAAAAATGTGCAGACTTATTCAAATTGATCTATTTGGGGGGGGGGGGGGCGACAGCTTGCAGCAGTGGCGTTGTAGATTGTGTAATTATATTTACAAATAATCATGCGTATACCACCAACAATCCCGCCCCTCAATCATGGTTTCAGTAGCTCTCAAATATATTAACTCTCCTTCTCCTCAGATCCTCCCGACTATGTTCGAGACAGTTTGTTCGAGTCTAATCCTGGTGCTCACGAAGCTCCTCAACGTTCCCTCTCAGATATTCTTCAACCTCTGTGTACTTGTGGAGTACTACGAGCTGGAGCTGGAGAACATTAAGGTTGCTTAAATGTGTTTATAATAGTCTTAAGAGTCAGATCACTTAAATCTTCTGAACTAGACAGTTGTACGAAAATTAGTAATGAGTATAAAATTAGTCGTGGGTATATAAAAAGGATCTAAGACTTGTGTAGATTTTCAAAATTGGCTGTAATAGTATAATTATAACATAGCAACCAAGTTCAGTTGTGTATTATTTGCGAGCTCTTACAATGGTTGTACTCTCCCAGTCAATAACAAACATGAAATTTCAGATGGTAATAGTACTGAGTGTTCAACTGATCGTGTCTCTGTTTTATCACGCTTACTTCTACACAGTTCAGCTATTTCTCCTGATCTTCCAGCCTATACTCTCTCTAATGGAGTTCACTATATACCTCCTTCACGCTACTTTTAGTGTACTTATACCTGGCGGCCTCGTCACTATACTGATAGGTTAGTGGGCTTACAGTGAAACTTGATGTTTTCTATTATTATTAATCTTTTTTTCTTTTTTTTCCCTTTTTTTTGTTATCGTTGTATGACTTATCTAACAGTATCACGCAAGCATAACATAATTATTATTAATCTTAACTTCGTCATGAGTCAATCTTTCTTTAGACTATGTATTTGACAGTCAACAGATTAGGTTGTGGCGTGATGGTCCGCCGGTGTATTTCAAAGCTAGACGTCACATTTCTGTCATACTATGAATTGTTGATGTGTTGTTCTGTTACTTAGTAGGCTGGTTGTTAAGATGAGCTCTAATAAACCCAAGTCAGAGTCAGACCTCTCTGAACTACAGGCCTCACTACGCTTCCTGACCCACTTGATCTGTCTTACTAACCTCCTTCTCGCAGGTCTCATCACATTCTGGAAGTGGTACAACCCCACTCAACCCCACCCCAGCCCCACCTCCCCTCCTCCGCAGACTATCCAGTTCACCCCACCTGCCCCTCCCACCGAACCTCAGACACCAGAAGAAGAGCTCCAGGAGCAACTAAACACTGAGAGAGAAGAGAAACTGTGCGTAATATGTACTGTTAACATGAAGTGTGCAGTGCTGCTGCCGTGTAGACACTGTTGCTTGTGTCTGGAGTGCAGTGAAAAGGTGAGGAATGTGGAACAACCCCAGTGCCCGCTCTGTAGGAGGAACATTGCTAATGTCATGCAGATATACTTGTGAGACTGGATACTGGTTAATGGTTACTGGTTACTGATTAGTTAGAGACTGGTTAGTTAGAGACTGGTTAGTTAGAGTAATAGTTCACAGTGCGGACTGGTTTCCGGAGAACAGATACAACTTACAGATGGCCTCTGTAGAGGTAGGATAGAGGATATGTCCTGATATATTCCCAGCTGAGCTCATTATTTAGAAGAGTGTCAGGGGAATTGTACCGCGAGCGTAGAATATAATATCTGAGTGATCATGATTTTGGAATGGGTTTACATTTTTAACGTAGCTAGAATTAGTGAGTGACAGTTCAGTTTATGATGAAATGGTGAAAAGTAGCAGAATAACACTATGGAGTATGACATGTAAAGTAAAGGTTAAAGCTGATGTTCGTTAAGACAGAGTTTTTGTAAAATATGGAATAAAATAAAAAACTGTATTTCTGTCGAAGAATGTTATTTAAGGATGCTTTGCAGAGATGTTTGTCGACAATAGCCTGTCAGAAGTCCTTTTTTTATGTGTTCGAGCCCAAAAGAGATCCAATTTTTAGGGCTCTTGCAATTTTAGCTGAGTCCTGAAGCAAAGTCCCGTATTTAACCTTTTTCAAATGCATGCGTTTTTCAGATTTTAAAGATATTTCGTAAATTTGTATTTTATGACTAAACAAAATTGATGACGTTTATTATGCTTTATATATCAACGAATATTTGATTGCTGGATATGGTGTATTGTAATTTAAATTTATCGCATATGAAACGAACTATTTTGACCGATGGCCAATAAATTACATTTAGGCGAAGACCTTTGGAGATTTTTCATGTACGTCCTTTTTTGCGTACATTTAGAAATTTAATGACATTCATTTGAATTCAAACTCGTCTTTGCTGGGAGCCCACAACCCATATTTCTGGGAGCCCACGACCCATGTATAACTTCAGAAGTTTTGTGGAATGTATTTCAGCATGTTAAATATAATATCGATGTTTGGTAGAACGTTTAAATATTTTGAAAGAAATCTTTATTGTATCGCAAAGTATATATACGGAGAAGTTACGCAAGAAATTTAAATTTTTGAGTATATTATTAAGCAAATTTGTCCGATTTGATAATTTCCGAATGAACATGACAACTTGTGAGCAAATTAGTAATTGTATGTTTTTTATTTTCAAAGAATATTATCATTAGCAATTTGATGTAATCTTATGAATAAAATAATTAATCATTAATGCAACATAATTTTATTAGTTTAGTTTGTTATTTGTTCAGCTCTACTGCAAATCAATCGTTAATACTTGAAGTTTAAAGAATAATTTCCACCTCACTAGTAAGTAGCGTAAAAACACGAAGAAAACGTTCAGTTCCACGTAAATCTATTCAATTAACTAATTACATTGTATAATTTGACATTATATTTAGATTCGATCCTGCATATATGCGCGCGTATTACAAAATCAACGCGCGCTAACAAAAATGTCGTGTGCGCGTTCCATAATGTACCAATTACCCACGGTATATACCAGATCAACGTCAGCATTAGTAACGGAAGATGCGACGGCTTATTGTACGCTAGTTATTATGCAACTAATCGCTAATTCTTGAGGCGGAAACTCGGGACCTTAATTGAAAATTTCAAAGCAAATCTCCAGCCATCTCTGTGGTGTACTATAAATATGTGTATACATCTAGTATGTTTTAAACTAATTACAACACTACAAATCTATTACATTTATTGAGGTATGACCAAAATGACCAACATGACAACAATGTAATGTAATTGGAGGTATCAAATCTATTCAATCACTTCAATCAACTTCAATCAACTTCAATCGACTTCAATCAATCTATTTATCTACAACCAACTCAACCAACTCAACATCATGAATGATTCATTGGAAACATTTTTCGGCAAATTATTGATGGAATGTGATACAAAATGTACAAACTGTTCAGATCTTAAAACTCGCGTGAAGTTTCTGGAGCGTAAAGTGTTCATTTTAGAGGAAATTGTTCAAACCTCACAAACAATAGCAGAGATTAATGAAACTATTTCGCCTCAAAGTGAAAACCACTCAATTGCTCAATACAAGTGTTTCGATGTATCAGTGCAAACGGACTCCAGCAACAAGAACATTCAGTATGACAAGGAATGTGAGGTACCAGAATCATTTTTGTTGATTGATGATGATGGCTATGTAGAAGCACCTCTATCAATTATTTCTAACAACATAGACATTTCAACCAGCGAGATTACAGACACTGGCTCAGTTATTCCAAGAAGCGGTGAATGTTATGCAGGATTAGATTTAACACCTGTGTCAAGTTCAGACCTTACTACAGACTATGAAATCCCTGATATCGCCATCACACCTGTTGAACTTATTGAACAGGCACCATTCAGCAAATTTTCTATTGAAATCTTATTTGAGGAATTAAAGTTCAGCCACCACTTCCATAACAGGAAATCAGTCTACTTTGGGGAACATCCTTACGTGTACAGTGGAGGAATGCATGACCCAAAGAAGATCCCCCAGGGATCTTACATGGCAAGTATATGTTCCTTTCTAGATGAGCTATTCCCAGAATACAACTACAACAGTGTTCTGGTCAATCTCTATGAATCTGGAGAGGAACATATGCCTGCTCATAGTGACAATGAAGAATTTATTGAAGAAAATTCGTACATTGTAACAGTGTCCCTTGGTGCTTCCAGGATGATGCAGTTGACTGAAATCAAAACAGGACAAGTGGTGACTTCCCTAATTTTAGAACATGGAGATGTATGTCTTATGTCCAAAAAGTCCCAACATCAATTCAACCATGAACTATGTCCCGATCCACTATGCACAGACAAAAGGATCAGTTTAACTTTTAGACTTATCAAACCAGTTGTCTGCAGTCAACCAAGAAAATCACCTTCTACAGCTAGTGGATATGTACCCTATAACGAAAGTGAATTTGAAGTCCACCATTCCAAAGTTAAGAGTTCAGCCAAGTCAACTGCAGCGCCTCCTTCACCTGAACAGACCCCAAGTGACCTGCCAACTGATACCATCTACATCAGTAGCAGTATGTTCAGGGACCTCAACGGAACTTTACTAAGTTCGAGGAAACAGAAAGCTAAGGTGTTCTTCTACCCTGGAGCGAACTCTTCTCAAATGTTAAATAGGCTTTTACATGATGAGGAGTTCAAAAAACTGGACAAAAAGGGTGTAAAGCGTGTTTTCATACTAACAGGCACAAACTACGTAGATTCTGTCTGTAACAATTATATTTCTATGAAAAATGCAACAGAAGGAATTGATCAAATACTTAGTATACTTTGGGGAATGTTTATTGGAGCAAGAATTTCAGTTATAAATATTTTACCTAGGAACAGTTATAACAAAAATGAAGTTATCGACGAATTAAATAGGTTTATTTCTAACACCTGCTCTAGTCATGGGTTAAATTATATAGATTTAGAACGTACCAATAGACTATTTACCAGCCGAGTTACTGGAGTAAGGAAACAGGTATTTTTCAAAAAAGGAATAGATAATGTTCACCTTAATATCAAGGGAATCGCCAGGTTGGCGAAACATTTAAAATATTTATCCCACAATGAGCAAACTTAGTCTCTCCATTCAGATTGTAGAAAGTTCTTTAGTTAAATGAGTATTTGATACTTTTATCAAAGAATCACATTTTAAATTATTAAGTCACAAATAAATCAGCATGACATAAAACTAAATGTCATGAATTTTATTTAAATTGCTTGAAGAAGAAACGTATAGATTTGTCCTCCTTTTAACTTTATTATTACCACATTCGTACCTCAATAAACGATAATCTCTCTCTTGGTCTATGTAATATACAGGGTGGCCTGACTAATCTGGCAAAAACTCTCGAACTACAGGAGTTAATATTTCGCGAAAAGCTTGACATAATTGGAATTAATGAGACAAACCTTAAATCTGATATAGACACTAGTACACTTAACTTCCCCTTAAACTTTGATTTTATAAGGTGTGATAGACCTAACGATAGAGGAAGAGGAGGGTGTGGTATATTGATCAACCAAAATGTAAACCACAAATTACTCAATTTAGATATAACTTACTCTGATATTTCTAAAATCGAAGCTATATGGATACAACTCAAGGATGCCAATCTTTACATTTGCTGCTTCTACAGATCACAAAACTTTTGTCACCTAGATACTTTCCTTGATTATATGACTGAATGTATGATGAAACTTCAAGGTAAGAAAGTAATATGGATTGGCGATGTTAATGTTAACCAAAACTCTTTATCTGATCTAGATTATAAAAAGTTAGATATAACAATGAAGCTCTTTGGAATGATACAGACTGTTACAGGAATTACTAGAGTTGCAAACTTAGATGGTAGGATAACGCAGAGCACAATAGATGTTGTCATGACTAACTGTTACTCTAATTTCATAGAGTGTAAAGTACTTGATGATAGAATAGGAGATCACCAAGCTCTCAAATGTGTTCTCGACTTTAAAGTAAGTAAAGCTAGTAAATTCCAGAAGGTTCTTATCAGAGACCACTCCTTAAACAATCTGAAAGCCTTAAGCTATTTTCTTGGATCCTGCAGTAACTACAGTAATATTTTAAGCTGTACTAATGTAGACCATGCCCTAGATGGACTTAATCATCACATCCAGGAATCGTATGATAATTACTGTCCACCTAAACAGATAAAATGTAATAGTAACTTTCTCTGTAATCCCTCTAAAGAACTGTTGGCGGAAATACGGAAGAAGAAGATGCTTTTCAGAAAGTATAAAAAGTGTTTAGGACAATTAAACAAATTCAAGTGTAATTGTATTAATGGAATATGTAAATGCAGAAAAAGTGAACTACATAAGAAATGCTCTACTTCGTGGGATAACTATCGTCCCCAAAGAAACTATGTGACAAAATTATCCAAAGAATCACAGAAGAAACCTGCAATTGTATTCTTAGATATCAAAAAGGCCTTTGACACAGTAAGCCATAATATTTTATTAAAAAAACTTAAGTATTATGGAGTTGATGGCTTTGTCATAAAGTGGTTCAAAAGCTACCTTGGGGACAGAAAGCAACACACCAAAATACGTGGTAATGTAAGCACATCACTCCCTGTTAAAACAGGTGTGCCACAGGGTAGCATATTAGGACCAATTCTATTTAGTTTATTTATAAATGATCTCAGTAGAAATTGCACACAATCTACTGTTTACTTATTTGCAGATGATAGTGCACTATATTTTGATAACATTTCCCGAGGCATATATGAGAATGTAATTAAGGATATGAAAATTGTGTATGAATGGCTTAGAATCAACAAGCTGAGACTAAATGCTTCAAAATCTTCATTCATTGTATTTGATAGATCACCTAATCTGGACACGTTGTCAATCCCTCTGGATTTGGAAAAAGAATGCCTATTTATAGAAGAAACTAAATCTCAAAAATATTTAGGTCTCATGATAGACAATTTATTGAACTTTCAAGACCATATTGATTATGTGAAATCAAAAATTGCTAAAAGAATAGGGGCATTATACAGGTCGAAAAATCTTCTTCCACTGAAATATAGAAAAATGTTTGTAAATGCTCTTATGCTCCCCCAATTTGACTACCTGGATATAATATGGTGTAGGGCTGCCAAAACCAAACTTAATTCTCTTGATATATTATACAAGAAAGTAGCAAAAATTGCTCTGGATGTTCATTGGCAGGAACCATCAGTAAATGTATATCGAAATATGAAGTGGTTACCCTTACACTTAAGAAGACAACTCCATCTATCAACGTATATGTATAAAATTCTTAATGAGGCTGCACCATCATCATTCACAGATAAATTTTCTTATGTATCCGGAGGATCACGTGATGCTGAGAGGTGCAACCTTTATATTCACAAATCCAGAACACACAAAACCTTTACATATTTAGGTGCAAAATGTTGGAATACAATTCCAGAGAACATAAGGACTATAGAATGTAGTGTAAAATTCTCACAATGTATGAAATCTAAATTTATGTCAGATGTAATTCAAGGAGTCTCATCCTATGAAATAAACAATAGTTTCGACTATTTCTACACTCTAGCTATGTGACAACTGAAACAAATTTTATGGTGCTGGAGTTTTTGTCGGTTGGAAAGGCCCCCTGCGTTATATATGACCTAGGTATTTCCAGAAGTATAGAACTTTAATCATCTCCTTTATTCGTTCCCATTTGTTATCATTGCCAATCTATTATTGTTCTATACTTCTCTGTATATAACTGTAAATAACATTACTAACGTAATCCCAAAGTGGGCATCTATGTAATCTTAATTGTTACCTTCATGCCCACAGTTCACTGTTAAATCATATCTTATTTTATCACTCATTAATTTATTACTCATTATGTTTTACATACTATATCCTTATGTCCCTAGAAGGGTGTTCTGCTAACAGTTTTCGACTGACTTGAATGTCCTGCACAGCAGATTGAAGCTTCTTAAATTATTTTTATTCTTATTGTATTGCTGTGTAAATTTGATTCTAATTCTAATTCTAATTCTAATGTTTATTATACATGTATATTGTACATTGACCGTGACCAATGCTTTAAACCCAAACCCCTGAAATGCTTATCTGCCAGTGTACGTGAGAAATGGGAATCAATACAATCTGATGATGTACAGTAATTACGTAGTATTTGTTTCCTATCAGTGATGTTACATTCTAAACTACATTCTAAAATCTACGTGTTTGCAGTGAGATTGTCATCATATTAAATGAGGACAATAAAACCTTACACTGTATAGTTACAAGCCGCATCGTTTACGTTTACAAGCGCCATTATTTACACCATTGTTTACACTATACAGTCCACGTGGCGGAATGAGAACACAATCTCACAACAGTTGCTGCAGGACACAGCTGGACAATACGTGTCAAACCAGCGCAGAATCTGAACCGGTTTTATATTTCACTGAACAGTGACCATACCGGGGTTATGTGTGAAAGAAAGGAGTCTCTTTATTGGAATATCGGCCCGTTAATTAACAGGACCAGCTGGTGAACAATAAAACGTGGGAGTCTGGATATTTTAAACATTATTTAGATACATAATAGTTACTTTATTAAAACAATATGTTCGTTTAAGGATGGCTTTTAGACCGCAAGTAGAACCTTATTACTGAGGACCGAAAACTATTATTATCAGCAACGTGATTTCTCTTGCACAGTATTATTCTACTAAAATACAGAATATCAAGCAGAATATCGTTCACCCCAGAATGGAATAATCTACAACAGTAACCAGTGGTTTACACCGACACCTTCATTATTAACCTAATTAAAGTTACTAGATTATTACATATTTAATTACCTACAGTGGGAGATGAGTAATGTACACATTCATTTAAATTTCATTACTTGAACCTACTAGAAGTAAAAGAAGATATATAGAACTTTAATACTTTCAACACTACCATATAACAAATAATTTGAGGAAACGATGTAACAGAGTCGATATATTTTAATGTTGTCATGGGTGGGAAGTCCCCATGCATCGTGGTCCGGCAGTTTCATTGCGTCTTAATATATATTATATGTATGAAATTTGATTGGAACGTTAAAAGAAGAAAAATAAATCAATCAATTATAAGATACGCGCTCATACCGTCATTATACTAATCACATTACGCAATCTGTGCACTGTTAAAATCATGGTATGTACACTGAGTTGCACAACATCCAGTACTGCAGCTGGTGCACTGTGTGTCACACCGTTTCATACTTCATTACACGATTAGTAGTTTACCTATCACAGTACTTTACCTATTACATGTATTGCATGTGTGTGTGTATTTTATAATTGGGTGCATAAGGGCTGATTATTACGTGTTACCGGCTATTAGGCTATTGTGTATTATGTAATTAGACACGGCACTTAGTAAAGTTTATAATTTGTAGATCTCGGGCAATGTCTCCTTATTTGAGCATCACGTGACACAGCAAGATCTTTTGTCTATATTTGGTCTAACAAGCTGCTAATCACAGGAAAGATTTGTGTGTAGAATCTTCACTGTACATAGAACAGACTAGAACAGTCTAGAACACACTGGTATTATTGCGACATAACCACAGAAATACAAGGGCACGCCTTTATAATCCATTATCCCTTACTTGTAAGTTGTACGTGTAGCAATAAGAAACTCATTATTATATTTATTAATATTATCAACGCTATATGAATAATGAATAATACGACGGCCCAGAACGATTATGGAGTGACATGAAAGATGTCCACGATTCATAAGCCCAAATAAGTCTAAATTGATACAGACACGGTAGAGAACTAATGTATACTAGTGGTACTGCACTACAAAACGAAAGCTGGGCTCTATTTGAGAAATGTGTAAGAATTCAGGAACATTAAATTCCGGTGTAATTTTACATGTATAGCTACATAAATATGTCAATATATTTTATCAGGCGTAATGGTTTAAATACTGAGCCTGCAATAAAGGAACGAAAGTAATGAGGAGTATTAAATTGTACGCAAGTTGTCTGGATTGACGTCAGCAAGCTGTGTGGCAAGCTGTGTGGCAATAACACTGGCAGGCACTCAATATTACACAACTATCAGGTAGATCGGAGGGCGTGCTAGAGAGAGCACGTGTTGCTCACTGGATTGTGAAATTTCATCTTCATCACTTACGTTTACATCTTTTTAGTTCAAGTAAAATCTGGAATGAAGTAAATTCCAGAAATTATTATATTTAAAAGCTTGGGGAAGTATTTTCGCTATCCAATTTTGGGCTTTTTGTGAAACTAATAAAAATATTAACAAATCTGAAAAACATATCAGAATTTGTTCGCAAATGTTTCCGCTATTTCATTAATGGCGTAATCGAAATTATCCGGATTAAAAGAAGAATGCCAAATTATAGAGCGAATCGAGGTTACTGAGGAACAGGGAGTTTTTAAATATTACAGTTAAGCCAATAACAACTCAAATATAAACGAGAAAGTATGTTGAAATTTGTAATAATATACAATTGAAAGAATTCTATAACATATGTATTATACTTAATCTGTGTAATACTCTCAACATAATACAGACCATTTACCACGAGGCTACCTCTTTATTAGAATATAGATTCCTTTAACTTTAACTGGGGATTATAAGTTGCTGTTTAAATAATATAATATTTATCTGGAGAAGTCTGTAGACTGAGGTACATGAAAGTGGGTTGTATTGATATGTAGATTAGAGATGTAGATTAGAAATGTAGATTAGAAATGTAGATTAGAGTGCCCTCAACCAGTCAACCTACTACAAATGGTACACATTGTACATGCTAAATGCTAATTACTGTAAAGAATGGTCTGATTCCTCATTCCTGGGTATTGCAACACTTATAACGATTTGATGGATTATGTTACATGATCGCTACTCCGTGTACATTGTACATTATGTAGTGTGATACACGAACGTTAAGAAACTTAAGAATTTACAAACAGCACCCACTCTCAGACTCAAGGGCTCTATACAACAATAAATATACATTATAAGGGGGGGGGGGGGCTGCCTTTTGTTGTACAGTCAAATTAGATCAAAGTGAGACCCCTTGGAACATTTAAATGTATATTCTTTGTGTAGAGTTACCACGAGACTACAAGATGTGTATTTAGCACCTGGACATTAGACACTAGACAGTTTCTCACTTAGTCGCTAGATGGGGGGTACATTTAGGGGCCGTTAGCAGTTAGGGTACAGCGAGTGAGCTGTTTATCTGACGGATAAGCAGTAGTATAACTCATATCGTTGGAATGTGATCAGGGTGAGTTTTATTCTTGGTGGTTTTATCCGTGAACCCGTACTACTACAGGGACCTGTACAGGAACCTACAGGAACCTACTATTTCAGGAACCTACTCCTCAGATTAATAATAAAGATAGCCTTGTCTTATAACTCGTTCCAGTGGTTAACATCACCAAAACATCTGTAATAATAGCGTCTGTGGTGTATTATACACTGCTATAAGGTAGGGTGCAGTGATGTGCGATGTTTACAGTAGAGTGTGTAGACACAGTAATTACACAAACATAAACAACACTTTACACATGACTTACCTTATGTGAATTAAATGTAAGTGCATCTATATTCTATAATCGGCCTGATATTATTATAAATACAATCCCAGAAATCGACTTGATTTCCGAGGATCAAACTTATCAGGATCTTAAATTATTTGTTTCTCAGGTCCGGAAGCAACCGTGAGAAAATCTGCACTACATAACATGAGTTAGCTGAGTATGAACTAGGCAATTAGTACTAGCCACTTTGTAGGTTTTCTTCAATTAAAGGTTGAGAAAGTGCTTGGCTAGTTAATGAGGGTAAGGAACAGACTGCTTGAAAACCAATACAAGTGTTATTCTCTACATTACAATGCGAGAGTAGTGAGTAGTGAGTAGTAGTGAGTAGTGGTGGTGAGTAGTGGTGAGTAGTGGTGAGTAGTGGTGAGTAGTGGTAAGTGGTGATGTTGAGGGCAGGATTCAAAGTTTGAAATTCTGATAATCTACATGACGCTTCATTAAACTTACAGTTGGTTATTTAAATCCATATTCTTATTGTGACAAAATTTAAAACCATCAAAAATCTTAAAAAGCTCCATTCAAATACCTTTAAAATATTAGTCGACAGACCAGTAGCTGCTCATGAAATTAGAATTTAAATTATTTAACCCCCGAAATTGTCCAGCAACAATTAATAGAAATCCCTGCTAATTAGCGATAATCATTACTAATTAGCGATAATTAGCAGTAAGTAATAGCAGGAAATGAGATCCTCATCGTCAGGAGTTTTTCTCTCTACCAGTTTTTCTTGTGCTCATCAAAACTGACTCCACCAGGACCGAGTGTGATGACGTAGAGTAGACCGCCAATAACTGATAACGTCTGGAGAGATAGGAGGTTAGTCACTGTTACTGTAGTCACTACTGTAGTCACTACTGTAGTCACTGTTACTGTAGTCACTATCTGTTAGTTAATAATGATAACAATAAATTGTTTATTATTTAAGAGCTTCTAGACAAAATGAATCCCTTAAACGAAGCATATCATAGCAAATCTTTATTTGCAAACATATTTTTAATAAAACAAATATTTTAATAAAACAAATATTTATTTTTACGGCACAATCAAACAATATCAATAATAAATAAATCAGGGGAGGTTTGAAGAGGTTTCAAGTGCCGAAGGCCACTGCTTATCTTTAGGATTTGAGAGTGACCTGTGCTTGAAACCCCCTCAACCATCCACTACGTCAATATAATACTTATTATACAAATATAGAAAAATATATTTATCTAAGCTAAAATTGCTTATTGGTCTAGTTTGGTGACATAGGAGAGCCCAGTTGAGTTTTAGTTTAGGTTTATGTTTTAAATCATAGTTTGAAAGGTTAGCCATGTTTCATGGCAGAGAGAGATATCATGTGTGCAGAGCCGTACGCGTACCAGATGTAGAATTTGAGATATAATATAGATTAGTTACCATATATTAGGGTCACCTCGATTTTGGAGGGATAGCAAGTGCTTTTTAAGGTTAGATTTAATAATACCTGACGAGGCTGATAAGTCTGAATTTTTGGAAGACCCCGGGATTATTATCCCATCTACATTAGCATCACATATTTCGAATACATAGGGGATGAGATCATTCCATATTTTCGTAGAGGTGTACAAAAAGTTCTGTTGGGAGATATCTAACCTCAGTAATGGGACAATCAGACGAAGTTTTTCATTTCTAGGACAGAACTTGAAAAGATCTTTAATCGACTGGGGGACATCAAATTTAAGAATTTTGAATAGCTCCATAAATGTATGGTACATGTGCAGATTCTCCAGGTTCATAATTTTCTGCTCAGTGAATAGCGGTTTAGTGTGTTCAAGACAGTAGTTCTTTTTAGCCATATGTTCGTTATAAGTTCTTGAACGTGCACAGGTTAAGTAGTATTCTTTATGATCAAAATTGGGAATGTTACCAAATAGCAGTCGTATACATCGTTTTTGAATAGCAAAGATTTTATTCAGCTTATGTTTAGGGATCCCACCCCAGCAACTTATACAATAGCTAAGATGTGACATAAAAAGAGCATTGTATAGTTTCAAATATTCAGATTTGGGAATGAATTTGCAAATTCTCTTAATCGATACAATACTGGAGTTCAGCTTTAAAGATAAATGATTAAGATGTGGTTCCCAACATAGCTGTTCGTCTATTATCACCCCAAGAAATTTAGTACATTGAACTTTTTCTAGCTTTTTGCCATCTATTGAAATCGTTAGATTCCTGTTAAAGGGCCGTGTTCTAGCACAGGTCTGTGTTGCTCTTGACAAACCTGGCTGAAAATGCATAAAACAACTTTTCCCTGCATTTATATGTAACTTGTTGTTATTAAACAAATAATAAGTACTGTACCTGAAAGAAGTCATATTTGACGAAGTCGTGCATAGCTCTACTTTTGTTGTACATCCAGAAGGGGTTGAGATAGAGATTGATGATGAAGAGCCATACAACTAGAACACAGCTAGCTAGCTTCGTTTTGTAGCCAATGCAGACACATATCATCAGAGGCAGTCCAACCTGGAGCAACATTGCAATTAGTCCAAACTAAAATAATATAATGACAGCTTTTACCATTGGTTTACTGTTTTCGTAAATAAGAATTAATCAGCTTTTTAATTCAAAACCGGTTTTATAATAAAGTTAAGGTGGTCAGATTATCTCGGTAATGAGGATAAAAACCATTTTCAGTCTTCATCCAGTTTATAAATTCTAACTATAGCTTCATAATTTACCAAGTTGTATTTCTAAAATTCAATGATTCTAGAATGGTTAAAATTGTCAATTTGGGAATATAGAATTAGATAATAATAATAATAATAAGTAGGAATTTATACATCGCTTTATAGCCATAAAGAACTCAAAACCCAAAGATTCAGTTCAAACCATCTAAAGCGACTCATGAGTAACATGTACATAAGAACTTATTTTTATGAAGTATGGATTTTATGAGAGAGGTAATACATGATACTTATACAAAGTGCCATCCATGACATCTATAACGACATTGGACTCGAGCACGACATAGAAGAACCAAGAAATAATTCTGACCTTACAATATCTGAACCCCACTGCCAACACTTTCTTGACATGGTTATCAATAACCAACTCAAAATTCTTAATGGTCGTACCCTTGGGGACACCACTGGAAAAATGACCTGTCACAAATACAATGGAAGCAGTGTGGTTGACTATTTTGTAATCACCTCATGGGCAAGAGATCATGTAAACTCTCTCCAAGTAAAAGAGTTTACATCATACTCTGATCATTGTCCATTAGTCTTGAAACTCACTACATTTGAACCATTTGTCGCAAACTTCCAGCTCCCAGACTTTTCTAACTTTCCTTGTGGCTATAAGTGGGATAGCAACACCTCCCATTCACTATTTAAAAAAGCCCTTACCTCGCCCGAAATTATCAACAATCTGGAAAGCATTGTGACAAATGAATTTAGCAGTACTCTGGAGGGCAATCACGAACTGAACGATGCAGTCATAAAATGTCTCCACAGTGCTGCTGATATAGCCTTAAAAGTGAAAAAGCCTCCCAAAAATTCTGCCCGTAAGAAATGGTTCGACCCACAAGTCAACTCCTCACGGCGGAACCTAAATAGGCTAGCAAACCGGCTTGGTAGTAAGCACTGTAACTGTATCCTCAGACGAGAATACTTTAAGCAACGCAACAAGCATAGCAATTTTGTAAACAGTAAGAAAGTAGCTTTCCTTAAGAAGTTAAATGAAGCTATAGAAGAAGGTCACATACTCGACTGGAAAAAATTTAAACGGCTTAAACAAGAACATGACACTAGCCCCTTACTTGACAAATTTGATTTAGCTAGCTTCCATGACTTCTTTGCATCCCTTTATAAAAAACCAGACCAGGAGCCAGATCTCACTCACCACAATCACAAACATTACCCTGAACCACCAGATCTGGATATCCTAAATAAGCTCATGTCAGAATCTGAAGTGACCTCTGCCATCAAAAATCTCAAAAAAGGTAAAAGTTGCTCAAACGACTTGATATCCAACGAGATGCTTCAGAGCGTAACTCCGCTTTGTCTCAAAGCCATCCTCAAAAACTTCAACCACTCACTGGTCTCTGGTTACTATCCATGGCACACCAGCATCATTACTCCTATTTACAAGTCTGGCAACCCTTTCAGCCCGGACAACTACAGAGCAATAGCTGTTGGTAGCTGTATGGGTAAACTATTTTCTAGCATCTTACTTGAGCGTCTCCTGCACTTCAAAAAGCTCTACTGCCCTGACCCAAAAGAACAACTAGGGTTCTCGAAGGGTGCTCAAACAAATGACCACGTTTTTACCCTTAAGACAGTCATTGACAAATATACCAAGGTTAAGAAAGCTCGCCTCTATGCATGCTTTGTTGATCTAAGAAAGGCCTTTGACACTGTATGTAGGGACCTCCTTCTGCACAAAATCACATGCCTTGGAATAACTGGAAACTTCTTCAATTGCCTAAGTGATATGTATAGAAACTCAATAGCTCATATAAAAATCTCCAAACTCTTGTCCCCTAATATTGACATTGGAAAAGGAACAGAGCAGGGACACCCCCTATCACCGGACCTTTTTAAAATCTATATCAACGACTTGTCATCTCTCCTGAAATCTGTTGGTGATTATCCTATTCTAGCTGACGTCCTAATATCACATCTGCTCTGGGCTGACGATCTTGTCCTACTTGCCCTAAGTCCCAAGGCCTTGCAAGACAATATAAACATCCTATTCGACTTCTGTAACTCCATGGGCCTTGAAGTAAACATTAAAAAAACCAAGATTCTCATATTCTGCCCTCCTAAAAGAAAACAATCCTATGAAACATTCATTTTGGGAGGCCAGCCCATCCAACACACCGAAAAATACTGCTATCTTGGCATTATATTCCACAGAAATGGATCTTTTACAGCAGCAAATACTGAACTGAGGGCCAAGGCTCTCCGTGCTCTCTATGGCCTCAAAGGCAATATCGTCAAAGATGCCCTCTCTCACCGTTCCCTAAACATTCTATTTGACTCTCTAATAAAACCGATACTGCTCTATGGCTGCCAAATCTTATGTCCTCACTCAAAAACCATGAGATACCTCTCCAAAACAGATAGCAAAGCCAACCCCCAGCATACTCTCAGGTACATCTCACAAGACCACTATGAAAGATTCCACCTTAAGTTTATCAAGTGGTCCTTGTCTGTCCATTCAAAAGCATCAAATATAGGCTGCTGGGGCGAAAGTGGGCGCCACCCCCTCTTCTTTGAAGCCTGCAAACTTGCAATAGATTTCTATAGTCGTCTTGAAAGCACTGAAAATGAACTTCTCTCCGCTGCATTTCACGAGCAGATTATGCTGGGCCTTCCTTGGTACACCAACATCTCTAATCTTCTCACCAAATATAACTTCCCCCACTCATCCTCTTCAAAATCCAAGCTCTCTACCCAAATCAGTCACAACATGAGGGAAGAATTTGTGGATACCTGGAAATCTGCCAAGGCATCCTCACCTAAATTAGAATTCTACAATCAAATTAAACATGATTTTGAACCAGAAACATACTTAGGAGTGGTTAAGATCCCCGATGCTCGGAAAAGCTTAACAAGGTTTCGTATTAGCTGCCACAATCTTTACATTGAGAGGGGCCGTTACGAAACCCCCCTAGTACCAAGAGAACATCGATGGTGCACTTTTTGCTTTCTCAGCAAGGGGCTTAAGCCTATTGAGGACGAAATTCATGTTCTAACTGACTGTTTACTCTACTCCTCAGTTAGAGAAAAATTTAACTTCCATCCCAAAAATATTACTGACCTAGCCGGTTTGCTATCCGATAAAACACTAGACCCTACAAAATTTACTGCCACAGCAAGAGCAATCCATTCAATTCTCTCTGTGAACGAACATTTTACAGCCTACTATAAGAGCCCAGATTTCCACTCAAATACTGGCCAATGCATAATGCTATAGGACCTCAAAAATAGTATTATAAAACATTTCTATTTTATCCCTACACATTTGTAAATAACTAGAATTGTGTAACCTTAAATTATTTCAGAATTATAACTATTGTGAATTCAATAAAATAATTATCACTTTTGTATCCTTGTTGTATCCTTGTATCCTTGTATCCTACAAATACGTTTTCAAAGAGATGAGTTTTTAGTTTCTTTTTAAATAAGACGATATCAGTTAGTGTTCTCAATTGATAAGGAAGCTGATTCCAAACAGAGGGTCCGCAGTAGCTGAAACTTCTCTCGGTTTTACTATAGTTTGAAATAGGAGGAACATTTAGGAGGAAATAGTCTTCTTCAGTTCTTAGTACACGTACAGGTTGACTCTTGATGACAATACATTTAAAAACATAGAAAGATAAAGATAAGCGGAACTTACAATGATCTCCACAGCTCGGACAATCTCAGTGAAGAAGTTATCAAAGCTCATTTCGCCGAGCAAAGTAAGGAACATAAGGCAAATAAGCACTCTTCCAGCTAGTTGCATGTAGTTCTGAGGCTTATTCTCTCCTGTGTAGTGATATTAGCGTTAATTTGCTGGTCAATAGAATTAGAACGCATAATTTTACCAAAAATATGGGGTAATGAAGGCGGTGAATTTAGCATATTTTGTATCCTATGAATTTAGAAAATTCAGATTAAGCTGTTACTAAACGAGATTTATAAGTAAGAAAATAAAATTAGCCTACCCATAGTAGGAACACCAGCGAACATGGTTTTAGCTTCACCCATATCCTCTGCTAGCAGTAACACAAGGCCACCCATTAGTGCTACATTTCTGAAGAATTGTGGATATGTTAGTGAAAATGTACAAATAAGGGCAACAATTAGATGCATGTTCATTTTACAGTTCGTATAATCTCAAATACCACTTTGTCAAAACTATGGAAAATAATCTTACATAAGTTAAATTTAATGATGAGATTTTGGCGAGTAATAGTGCACATTATGGTTTAGAAGTTGAAGTTCAACAAGTTTAGATGACACGTGATGCCCATATAAGGAGATGGTCATATTACGTTTCATACTGATAACGTTCGTTTAACGATTATATGAGATAATTTATCTACATGTATTGCACTAGATGCATGAATCGTTAATAATAAATCACATTAAGGGCTGCTGCAAAAATGTATAATCCTATCAAGTATGTCCTTGTAAGTATTTTGTATTCAGATAAAGTTATAACCTGAGCAAAAATCGGACGTCGAAGAGAATTCCATAACCAACAGTTTGTGTGAGGACAACACCAAATAGTACTCCTACACATATCTTCACATACTTTCTTGCTAATACCAAACCTGTAAAAAATTGTTAGTAAATAACAACTTCTGGGCCAGAGTAGACAAAAGTTAATTTTAAGGGTTTACTGTTTGTAATTGCATAAGATATTTAATTAATAGTGGTTACATGATAACTATGTTTTGAAAATGATAGCACACATGATGTGACCCTAACCTGATGGTATGATCTGTCCAAGAAGATTGTAAATAACAAAGGAGTTAGCAATAAAGGCGCCACAGTTCCAATGGTGGTTTATGTAGTTGCTTTGCTCCTTCCATTGGTACCACATTCTCACTCCGTCCTGTTCAAAGTGAGGTTAATTCTATAATTTCTGAGAGAAACATTGCAATTTAAACAGTTGTTAAACTCTGTCCTGATGTTTGTTTTCATTTTTTGATACTGATATTCAATAGATTTGATAATACTTACTTCAAGAAATGTTGCAACAAGGCATAATCTTGATAGGAAGGGGAGATAATCTTTGGTTTTTCTCAAAACAACATCAGACTGATCTTCAAGTTTCTTAATGAAGTCACTCGACATGTTTACTCTACTAGTAAAGTGTATATTTTTAGTAGGAGCATTAGGTATACAAATTTTGTTACAAAGTATACCGAAAAGGATATTTGTCACAATAATATCAAGAAACAAAGGATGAGAGCAATGACTTTATAATTTGAATTGTTATAATTCACTATTTCATAACTCGTTCACATTTATAGACCACATTTAATTTATTACTTATTATACTTAGTATTTATTTTTGGTGACTGTATCACCCAGTTTTAACATTTGATAATTGTACAGTTTATTGACGACACATTGACTGAATGTTATTTTATATTCTAATTTATATTCTAGATATTTTATTTATTTTTCAACAGACGACAACTTCCTGTTTTTTCTTCTATATTAGTTACTCATATCTCTTGTACAGACTGTTTTACAAGGACATTGACAGATGATACTCACATTAGGCATTCATTATTGCATCTAAATTATTTCACTTGCATTAGGTTTAGAAATTTATTCTCTGGTTAACAGATTCAAATGTTTAATTAATTTGTAGTATGACAGTAAGGTATCGTATATAAGAAGTTATTTAATTTTGCTTGGGCTATTATATTGACTATTGAGGTTTAATGATGATATGGAATTTGAATATTATATAAATTTACACTATGTAGTTGGGGCATTTTGCATAGTAAATATGGTTACTACTCCTCTATATGATATTATTTGATTGGTATTCGATTTCTGATTATTTTCCTAGGAATATGATTATTATATCTCAATTTGGCTTTAGGTAGGGTGCCCCGCTAAAAGAACTGGATTCTTCCAGGAAGCATCCCGTGCACAGAGCTTGATCTACATATATAATATTAAATTATTAACCATTCATTCTGTATGTGCACAAAAATTTATTTCAATCAATTTCTTTTATTAGTACAGGGAAATCCGTCTAAAAAAATCGATCTGCTGACACACGAAGCTTTCAGAGGATTTTTGACGTTTTTGAGTCCCATTAGGTGCCCTTTATGGCTGACCAACTTTTCCAAACTTTTCCACGTGGCTTAAGGCCACTTTTTGCCACTTTACCACTTTTTACCACCTTTCTTGTTTGTCGAATATCTTTAGTTGTGAACATCGTAAAAGGTTGCGAATCAATCGAGTGTGTTCATATTATCAGGAAGAAAAACTTTTGTTCTAACAATTTTTACGTCAGATAATAAATTAATTGGATAATTATCAATTAACCAATTAGCAAAATTCTAAAAATTTTTTATTGGCTAAAAATGATCGGAATAGCTTGAAACACGGAGAAAAGTAGTTTTTAGAAAAAATTTGAAAATTTTTCACTTACATTTTTTTTCGAGACTTCGAAAAATTTCGAAAATTCAAAATATTTTTTCCCGCCAAAAGTGATCAAATTGCATGAAACGCGGAGAAAAATGATTTTCAAAAAAAACTTAGTCAATTTTTCGTTTCAAGAATACTTAAATCACCAATATTTGTAGTTGGAGTTTAGTAAATCTCGGCAGATTTTAGTAATAATCAGGAATTACTAACTCTAAGTGGAAAGGTCTGAAACTGAAAAACGTTAAGTTTAACCATACGATCGTGATATAAGAGTTTCATAACTAATTACAATACAGCCTTATCGATTTTCACAGAAACTGCACCAATGGCACAGTCAAGATCGAAACGATAGCCTGCTGTACTGTCATTTTATTGATTTCAATGATGAATCAGTGGGGTTAAGATTTGTAATAAATAAAACCTCTCTGTACCGTCAATTGTGCTAATCTAAACCGGCCTACCTGTATTACCAGACCTCTTCTTTTCCTCAACAATCAAACCGAGTTGTTCATATCGCATTTGGTGGGTGATGTAAACTAAGTAGTAATACATATCGAGCTATATTCAATCACAATACGACACAATGCAACACGTGTATATTATATTATGGCCCTTAATGAGGTATATAAAATGTTCTATACCGTACACTTCTCGTTTCTCCCGTGAGAGGCCCGATATGGAGAGGTTTTACATTTTATCACGAAAATGTCTACTTGGTCTCATGGCTCTTTGACAGCTCAAAGAAGGCAAGAAAAGACCAAAAAGCTTAGAATGTCAACTCGCAAGAGCGGGCTACCGGACAACTGAACCCAATTTAGACATTTAGATTAACCCTAACTCTAACCCTAACCCTAACCCTAACCCTAACCAATTAAGCTGATTGGTTAGTGGGAACTAGGTTCAATTGGGTTCAGTTGTCAGTCTTCGATCTGTCCCACATTAATCCCGAGCTGATCATCATGGGCCCCGAATATCCTGCGGGAAGAACCTGTATTTTTACTTCACGACGTCCGGATTTCAAATCAACATCCTCAATAACATTAACAATCCTTCCTGATCAGGATCTGTCTCTATTAGCAATTTCCAAAATATCCTGACTCTCGTGGAACATTTCACTGAATAAATTATTACCGGTTATTTACTACCCCTTGCCCGACACTGTACTCGTATCTAAATCTTACCCTTTCCCGTATGTTACCCTTGTTGATTTTACTTTTAGCCGACCCTGACATATGGGGGTGATTTGAGGTATCCCGCAAATGAAGCGGTATGCAGTACAATACAAAACAGTTACAGTAGATGTTGGAAGGTGTATTTACACTTGCTTCCTGGACCTGGCTGTTCCTCAGTTTCCCTGATCTGTTCTTGCCCTTCTTCGAACTGTAAATGGGCCATGAGACCAAGTAGACGTTTTCGTGATAAACTGTAAAACCTCTCTATACCGGGTTTCTCACGGTATAAAGCGTTTCATAAACCTCATTAAGAGCCATATAATATACACGTACTGTGTCGTATTGTGATTGAATATAGCTCGATATGTATTACTACTTAGTTTACATCACCCACCAAATGCGATATGAACAACTCGGTTTGATTGTTGAGGAAAAGAAGAGGTCTGGTAATACAGGTAGGCCGGTTTAGATTAGCACAATTGACGGTACAGAGAGGTTTTATTTATTACAAATGTGATTATCTTAACCCCACTGATTCATCATTGAAATCAATAAAATGACAGTACAGCAGGCTATCGTTTCGATCTTGACTGTGCCATTGGTGCAGTTTCTGTGAAAATCGATAAGGCTGTATTGTAATTAGTTATGAAACTCTTATATCACGATCGTATGGTTAAACTTAACGTTTTTCAGTTTCAGACCTTTCCACTTAGAGTTAGTAATTCCTGATTATTACTAAAATCTGCCGAGATTTACTAAACTCCAACTACAAATATTGGTGATTTAAGTATTCTTGAAACGAAAAATTGACTAAGTTTTTTTTGAAAATCATTTTTCTCCGCGTTTCATGCAATTTGATCACTTTTGGCTCGAAAAAAAAATGTAAGTGAAAAATTTTCAAATTTTTTCTAAAAACTACTTTTCTCCGTGTTTTAAGCTATTCCGATCATTTTTAGCCAATAAAAAATTTTTAGAATTTTGCTAATTGGTTAATTGATAATTATCCAATTAATTTATTATCTGACGTAAAAATTGTTAGAACAAAAGTTTTTCTTCCTGATAATATGAACACACTCGATTGATTCGCAACCTTTTACGATGTTCACAACTAAAGATATTCGACAAACAAGAAAGGTGGTAAAAAGTGGTAAAGTGGCAAAAAGTGGCCTTAAGCCACGTGGAAAAGTTTGGAAAAGTTGGTCAGCCATAAAGGGCACCTAATGGGACTCAAAAACGTCAAAAATCCTCTGAAAGCTTCGTGTGTCAGCAGATCGATTTTTTCAGACGGATTTCCCTGTACTATATATTAATATCAATTTGTCGAACCATGATGGTAAAATGTATCCTGAAAAGACAAGTTTCATCCATTATTATATAACTAGAAACCCTGTGGTCCCAAGGAGGATACTGATATTATTCTTTGAAAGCCTTCACACCTGAAGATATAGCCAATTTAAATGTAACTTGATTAAAACATCGCTCCAAAATCTTTGCACATGATTATGATGTGAATTTTCACCCTCGTTACTATGCAACTTTCTAATTTGCACATCGCGGTGGTTGTACTTAGAAGGAACCGTTCGGATTTTAAGAGAGATATACGATAGATATGAAACTTCAAGAAAATACTGATATGATTGTTCTTAGTATAGATGTGTACTTGCATGCCACATAATTTATGAACATGTATAAACCAATCAAATCAAATCAAATCAAATAATAATGACACAAACACCATCACACGCCATTACAATCGTTTAAAGTTTTTACAAAAATCAATAAATTAAACTACAGGGGCAACAGGATCCTTGACTGAGTAGTTATAGCGAAGCCGACACCACCAGTACCTCCCCTATGTGTGTGCGGGGGCAGCACCTAAGCAGCGGCGTGATTTTAGAGTAAAAGTTTTAAGAAAGTGTTTTTCTGGAGCAAATCAGCTATCTAGCATTTAAATCATAACAGTTAAAAAGATATAATACCCATGTAATGCGAACAATATAATTTTCATTAAAATTCTTGTCTCTCAAAACATTTGTAAGAGAAACAAATTTTTGTTTGATTGTGCAAGACTATTAATTAGAATATGCGTTACAACAAAATCATTAAATTGAGCATATATATCAATATATGGTATATATAGTGAGGTATATGGTATATAGCTAGTGAGGTATATGGTATATAGTGAGTCCGGACTGCATATATAGTATAAATGTACCAGTCCCATGAAAATGAGAAAAACGGTGTTACAATGCAAGGGTTCTTGAAATAGAGAAAGGAAGCTTCACGCCGTTAGTTTTCTCAACGTCTAGTGGAATGGGTGGTGAAGCTGAAAGACTGGTGAAGAAGCTGGCTAGTCAGATGGAATATAACACAGGTCAAAGATATTCAGACGCTGCTGGATAAGAACAACAGTGATTTCTCTCCGGGAACACAGAGGTGCGAGATAGAACTATGTTAATATAAATAGTTTAGATTTGAGAACATTGCAAGTATACATGGGTGCTGTATTCATTTGTATGCTGATGACA